GTTTTTACCGAACTCTATTAACTCCAATATATATTTTATCATTTAATTTTTAAAAATATTTTTTAATTTATTTTATACATTCTCACCTATTAAGTACGGTCATGATGTATAAAAAATAATAACATTAGAGTTATTGATTTTATTAGAAATCAAATATGCATCTACACACATAATATCAACTATTTGCTATTATTTTTTAATATTTAAAATGATTTTTTCAAATAAAATAATTGAAATAATATTTTAGAATAACTCGCCTAATAATTCAAATACAATTTTGTATACTAATATTATTCATTATTTTATAAATAAATATATATAAATTAAATGTATATGTTTAAAAAAATAATCTTCTCATCGATAAAAAGTTTCATTTGTTAATTTTTATACATATTTTTATATTAATTGTTGTTGTATTTCTTCGATGCAATCTAATGAAAAAAATATTAAGATGTTTTTAAAAAAAATTATATTAAAATTTGTTTATTATGGGTTTTTATTTTTAAGAATAAATGCATAAGAAAGAACAAATCATATTTTTTTGACTTCAAAATTTATTCAAAACATATATATATATATATATATACACAAAATTTTGATTAAAAATTATAAAATTAAATGAAAATTTATCTTTTATATTTGATTTAATATATTTTAATTAACTAATAACATAAATTATTAAAATAAAATACATATATTTAGTTCGGTACATAGCTTAGCGCAAGAATCCGAACTCGTTCATATGTTTAAAATTCCTATTCACTTACTCGTTCATATGAATAAAATTACTATTCACTTAATGGTAATTTAAGTAATTTTTGTGTGTGGTTTTTTTGTATGTTTTTAGGCATTAAAATACAAATTTAACACTCGTTTTCTATTTTTTATCCCTCGTGTTGTAACATTTTTTTCAATCCTTGATTTTCATTTTTCTTTCATTTTTCACACAATGTGTATATACATATACACACACACACACACTATCTTTTTATATTTTAAAATTAACATATACTTCAGCTTATATTACTCCTATCATTTAAATTTCATTATTTGAATTTATCATTTTTTATGAAAATTCTCATCTAATTAATATTTTTTATATAAGATTTTATTTACTAATAAATATAATTTATTTTTCTCTATGTTTGAATTTTAGAATAAAATTTTAAAACAGGATTGTTTTTTCTTTTCTTTTTTTAAAATAAAGTAGTATAATATATATCATGAATTCTTAGAATTTTTAAAAGATAGTTGCGTATATATAAATATATAATTATTTTATTCTAAAAAGTTAAAAGTGTATTTCAAATAATTTATTTCAATTCACTAGGTATGGTCAAGACGTATAAAAAAACTATTGAATCGTTGATTTTATTAAAAATTAACTATACATCTCCCAACATAATACAAATTATTTGCTATGAATATTTTTTTAACATTATAGAACCAATTTATTTGAAATAAAATAATTAAAATAATTTTTTAAAGGAACCAACCAGTTATTCAAATATAATTTTTTATGCTAATTTTATTGATTATTTTGTAAATAAATATATATAGATCTAATGCATATGATTGATAAAAAAATCTTCTCATCAACTTTACAAAAGAATAAAATTTTATTTTTTCATTGGTTAATTTTTATGCAAGTTTATACATTAATTGTAACTTTATTTTTTGTATACATTCTTTATAAAAAAAATATATAATTTTAAAGTATTTTCTTTTGAATTCTTAATTAATATTTTATGTTTAAATTATTATAAGTTTTTATTTAAGAATTCTTGAATAAAGAAGAACAAATCATGTTTTTTTAAGAAAAATTTTTATAAAAAAATTAATGAAAAAATAAAAATAATTCTAAATAATTTTGTTTTATCTACCCATAGTATTACATGAATAATTTCAAAAATTAATCTTCTTATCAGCATTAAATGAGGATTTTTTTCATTTGTTAATTTTTGTAAAAGTCTCGTCCATTAATTATAACTTTATTTTTTGAAATACAATATTATGAAAATTATATTTTAAAAGTTTTTTTAAATCTTGATTAATATTTTAGTTCAAATTATTACATTTTTTTATTTTAAAATTAATGCATAAAGAAGAATGATTTATGTTTTTTTAAGAAAAAAATTTTATGAAAAACATTAAAAACTTAACCATGAAAAAAATTAAAAAAATTAATTAAAAATGTTTACAATGATTTTTTTCTCATCGGACTCGCAGCGTATCATAGGCAAAGGACTAGTGGAATAACTATAAAGCATGGAGGGTCGAACACAAGTATTGTGATGATATAAATCTAAGACATTAGATTTTCAAACATTTCACGAAAAAGAAATTGATGATATAATATGTTGAATGTTTGTATAAAATGTTTGTTTGCTACTACATATATAAAAAAAAAATTATATAGGCTTTCACTAAGTTATAGTGGATCTACAATTCGGCCAACACCAAGACATATTTGCTTAAAAAATAAAATTAGGATTCTTTGATGAAGAATATTTATTTTGTTATTTCAGGAAAAAAATATTAACAATAAATCTAAAAGAAACAGTGGTTTTTACTATTAAATTCACTATTTACTCACACTTGTATTCACTATTCACATGGCATTGGTGTAGTTTTTTCGTGTGCATTGTTTATTTGGTGGCGTTGTAATTTTTGTTATTTATTTATATTTTTTCTGATGCCATTGTTATGGATTTCAACTTTTGCTCGGACATTTGATAAGAAGTTTTAATAAATATTGCACTTGATCCATGATTTTATCTCAAACTTTTGTTTCGGCTTTTAGCTTTATTTATATAGTTGTTTGGTCCGTAGACATAGAGAGTTTGTTTATCGTAATACCTTAAAATATTCGCTTGAGTTTTTGAACTTAATTTGGATTTTTTAGGAAGATTATTTCTTAGTTTTTAAGTAATAATCAAAACTAAGAAGTGGAAAGAGAAAGAGAGAGAGAGAGAATTAGTTTTTATACGTATAAAGCCTATACACAAAGACCAAGCATGAAACAAAAATAGTTGTTAAGAGGGAAAAAAAATAGAATTCATGTGTTTTATTTACTTTCTTTTTATATAATTAAAAATTAACGAAATAAATTTTATAAGTATTTTTAATTGAAAATTGACTATGCACATAAAACACTTAATATTTGCTTTTTTTATTTTAAATTTTGGATATTTTAAAGTTAATTTCCCTTAAAATAAAATATTTAAAAATATATTTTGAAAAAAAAAAACAACAGATGATACCATACTTTTCTAATAGAGTTCTTTATGCTAATAACATATATATATATGTTTTGATTTTTTATTAACCAATTTTTGTCCATTAAAACTAATTTGATCATATCTCATAAGAAATCATTTTTTTATTACAAAAAAAAAAATTGAATACAACATACGATACCATAAGGTTTGTTTTTTTTTTTTTTTCAAGATAGTTTGATGGACCTACAATATAGAGAAGGCTATCCGAGTATAAAGATTTTTTCAAATAATTTTATATGTTCTGTTTGATCAACGATGTAGCTAAGAACACTAAAAGATTTGGAAAAATTACAAATCACATAACTATTCACTCACACTCATATCCACTGTTTATTTTCAGTATGCAGTGGAATATTTCATAATTTTTGAACTGTTTTCAAACATTTGAATGCAAGTTTTACTCAATTTTATATTTTGATCTCTTATTTTTCTAAAATATTTATTTTCATCTCCAACTTTATTTATATAATGTTTAAATCCCTATAATTTTTCCATAAATATATTTTTAGAGTTTTTTTTAATCGTAGATTTTTTGCTAAATTTATGAAAAAACATTCATTATTGTTTTTGGTTTTTCATACAAGTTGGAGATGAAAAAATATGATTTTTTTTATTTGTCCCTTCTAATTTTTTCTTTTAGATTTCAAGATAATTTTTTTGATTTGTCATTTTTATGAAAACATCCAATTAATTTCTTAATTTATTTTTTTATATAATTTTATTTGTTAAGTAAATATGATTTATTTTTCTCTTCGTATGGATTTTTAAATAAAATTTTACAAAGTGATTTTTTAAAAAATATATTAATATAATTTATATAAAGAATTGTTATGATTTTTAACCGAAAGCAACACACACACACACACACACACACACACGTGTAGAATTTTATGAAAAAACTATGAAGAATTTTTTAAGTATTTTGAATTCAATTTTATATTTATATTTTTGTGTGCTTTTATTTAAGAATTAATGTGGACATAAAAACAAATTATGTTTTTTTAGGTGAAAATTTATGAATAACATAAAAAAGAATCGATGAAATAAAAGATTTTAATCAGAATGTTATTAAATTAATTAATACTTTATTTTGCATTTTATTTGATATATTTGTGGAGTTTCTAATTGAAATAATTTGATTTTATCCCGCTTCAAACGTAACACAAGCAACAAACAAGTTAAATTCTATTCAAGAACATGATAGGAATGAAGACAGCAACGTCACCAATAAGGACAGTTTGTGAACTTATTAGACTACAATATCTACAAGAACACGATTGACTCCTCCAACTTCTCTCGATGAACTTTCACACGATGCCCATAAGTTTAGTATTTAGCAAATTGTTGGCAACTGGAGTCTATTCTTCTGGTTTTATCATCACCGAAAGCATCATTGCTTTCCCATTTATCAGGTGAAACCAACATGTCACAAACTAAAAAAGCTAGAGAGCATAATACAAGTTGAAACCATCGCAACCGTTCATTTAATATTACCCATAGCCTCCCAAAAGTACAATCCGTGTGACCTTGTAGTCCCAATAAAACTATGGGACCAAGCATTTAAAACAATGCCAAGTTGATGTAAAAGCCAATTCCACACTTGAAACATACCAGCTAAGTGCAAGATCTAACTGGCTGCACGTTATAAATTCCTAGGACAACGTCATCGTCTAACCAATTATAACGGAGTATAATACATGTCAGGAAGAGCTGAAAGGGTTAGGTGACTTTCCCCATCACTGTACAAAAATTCTCAATGGTAACTGCTTTCGTATAATTAATAGGGGTCTCCCCTATAGGTAGTATTATATACCCCTCATCTTCACGTCCACACCCTTCCAACAAACCATGCCATGTAATGCTCCTTCGGAAAAACTTTACCTTCTCAAAACACACTACTTTAAGCAGGCAAATTGGGTTTATCCTTTTCTTTCTCAGCCTCGGATGTGCAGCCCAAATCTGCTCATACACCCCATATAGAAGAGCTATTGCCCATTATCATTTATTCTTATCATCCAAGGTATTCTCTGGCTTATGAAGTATACCAGAACTGACCTCAAAAGCATGGAAAACTCTTCTGCACTTTCAGCAGAGATATATTTGGGCACACATGACAGCACAAACCAAGTTGCTGAATGCAAAGATCATAACCCATCACAGCCAGAAAAACTCCCATGCACTCTCAACCATTGTAATGGATTTTCTGGTTTTGGGTGCCCTGACCCTGCTGCGGCTGCTGTTGTGGAGCCTGCAAGTTCAGTGGCTGAGTGTTGTAATGGGCAAAGGGCTGAGAGTACAGAGAATTCATCAAGCCCTGCATATAAATTGACCAAACTATTTTATAGGCTGGGAAGAACGAATAACTGACTCAAACAAAAGCTGGCAAAAATATGCAACAAAAAAAGGAGGCAAAATTAACAAAGCCACATTGCTGCAAGCATTTGATCAACATCTAAACATACATGATGCAAATTTTCCTACATCTTGCAGTTTTGGTAATTTTGCCTCTTGCACTTCTTTATCTTTAGGTATCAGGAAAAACCTGGGATTGAAGTTGGTTTGGATTCGCTATGCCAAAGTGGCTCTGTGATGCATCATCTTGCGAGGGATCATTAAAGCCAACCTGAGTGAATAATCCTTGCGATCCATGAGCCATGTAATCCTACAATCAAAAGTTCATCAGGACTCAGATAAACATCAGTCCATCAGTTAATTAAGAAAAAAAAAATTGCGTTTTCACCAAGCAAACCTGAGACATGAAATCATTTCCAGAACCAAAACGAGAATATCCAGCTTGAGAATTCTGATTCAAGAAGTTTCCTGGAAACCCACCTTGTGCTCCTTGTGTAACATAATCAACAGCATATCCACTTTGAGATGCCTGCAGCAGCATTACGATAAAATCTTGAAAAAACAGTAGTGGCTATCTACTACCACGGAAAAAGAAAACCCTATTTGGTTGAAGCACCAAATTACTCTTCTGAAGTTTAGCAAAAAACTACCCTTCTCAATTTGCCTAATTTGCTGCCAAGCAATGCCTACCATTATATAACCTAATAGTTATCGGTTTATAAATTCAAAGCAAACCTAGACTGGAGTATGAATAGCATTTGGAAATACATAAAATTGAATATCACACCAAAGACAAAACCTCACATTCTGTCCATTTGCACCATATATGGGGGAAAGAAAAAAAAAACCCACTACTAGACATACAACGTGATCTCTACTCTTGCAGGGCTTATATATACCTGAGTGGAGAAATCAGTAACATTGTAAGGAACATGTGATCCCTGGCTTTTGAAGTCATCACCCAAGAACTCCTGGGACATACCCCCCATGGAAAATCCATCACGAAATGTTTGGCTCGACCCCTGAACTGGAATCTATATATGCAACAAACAAATTCAGGACAAGAATACTATGATAGCGCAAAAAAGAAAGAATCAAATAGATGAAACAAATTGTCAAGAAATCGATGCTGACATTATTAACATATCCAGGTTGAGATAATGGACCGCCCACAGATGGCTGGCTATTTGGATTCTCCATGGCAGGAAAGTTGAAAGATCCAACACTCCCAATGCCTTGCTGGGTGCCTTGCTGGTGAGGGAGATGACTTCCAATAGGCGCACCAGTATTGCCACGCCCAGCACCAAAACCTCGACTTCCTGGAGGAGGGACTTGAGGAACAGCTCCAATTGGCCCATGCACAGCTCCACGAGTTGGAATAGCATATGGTTGAGAAGCTGGACCACCATGAAATGGTGGAATGGGGACCCGAGGCATTGGAAATCCAGCAGGATGCACACCAGGCTTATGGGTACCATTGGGTGGGCCAGGTGGCATATAAGATCCTATATTTGGGACAGCACAAAATCGGACAAGTCAACATAAGGATAACAGAGTAGCTAACCAGATGAACTTGATTGAATAATGAGTGCTTTAGTCCTATTCTACTTTTGAGCATGCATAGGGAGTAGTGGGACTATAGAAATGCCATCACCATGTAAAAATTCTAGGATTTCTAACTAGACAGGTGAAATGTAGCATACCCCTGGCGCGGGAGTTTCTTCTATCAGCATTTGGGCTGGCTGAGGCAACAGACCCAAAATTATCATTTGGGACGATTCCAGGTCCGCTACCAAAGAAAAGTCTCCTATCGTTATAAATCTGTGAGAAAACATAGCAAACCACAATAAGTTCATATTTATTCCTGACAAGTACTTCATCATAAGCTGGACAGACTAAAAAAATAGCACAAAAATGGAAAGTTGGATAAATTCATCCTTCGTCAATGATGCTGCCCTTTCCTAGAAAGTTGAACAACATACTTTTTTGGGCTTCTGAAATTGAACCATACTCTGCTTCAAGTTATTCAAAGGTCCTTCAACCAAGCACTCATGTTCCTGGTGAAACAATTGTAGCAAACAGGAAGATCAAAAATGTTTTCAGTAAAAAAGCAAATTATCATTAGAAAGTGACAAGGGATATGTGAAACTCTGAATCCTCTTTCAATCTCAGAACCATACTATTGCCAAAATTAGCAAATTCCACCAAGCAGTGCAAATGAGAGTTTCCTAGAAAGCATAGCACCAACAAGTAGAGAAGACATACCTTGTAGTGAGTTAATAAGCTATTCCACAAAGGCTGCTTGCTTAAAACTTTAGGGTTTCCCAAGATGACAATACCATATCGAGCACGAGTTAGAGCAACATTCAACCTCCGAGGATCATTAAGAAATCCAATGCCCTAGAGAAAGGGACACCAGTCAAGCACCAACATGAAATCAATAAAAGAAAACCCTTTTTATATACCACAAGAGACAACTTTGATGGTGAATCAAATAACAGGCTGAAAATTAAGATCAGAAACTGCATCAATTTCCAGCTGCATGCGATAAAATTGAAATGCGTGAAAAGAAAAAATATCTCTAGTATAATAACTTGACACTCCCCCACATAACAGAAATATTTCACATAGCTGACGTATGAAAGTCAAATATGCCATCAAGCAAGTGCTTCTAACAGTCCCTCACATGTATATGGAGCATCAAACCTATCAGACAAGTGCTTCCACATGAGCATCTTGTCAAAACTAGGATCGTACCTTCTAGCATACATGGGAAAGGGAAGAGTAAGATGGTGACTTCAAGTGGAACACCACATAATGAAAATGTTAAAATGTCAAATGACAGGACCAAATTCTGCCATTTACAACCACACAATTTGATAGTCATATGACCAGACAACGCCTTGTTTATTCAGTGATTACCAACAATGGATTTGGCAATTGTCTCCTTTACATGTCAACATGCATAATGAGGACTGAAGCCATGATAAGGTGATAAAGTGAGCACAATATAGTGCAATAAATGGGCACAACCCAAAAGCTTGTAGAATAGAAGACAAGAGCCAGATTCAAAGCTCAGACTCTGAATTGAACAGCAACATTCAGCCTCCCCGTTGAAATTAACAACATAATTTTTGTGATTGATAGAATTTGGGAGGAAGGTGTAGAGAACCAACCTGATGTTCGTTGCTCCTAACACAAGACAAGATAATGTAATCTTTTTCTCTTCCTTGAAATGAATCAACACTTGCAACCTGCAAAAAAAAAAAGAAAGAAAGAAAGAAAACCATGTAGCAATTGCAAGTAAATATGGAACAGCATCTAGAACCAGAGAATAAAAGCTATGAATTACCTCAATTTCCTTGTATAGTTGCTGTCTGAGGGCACCATTCCTTGACATATAGTTCACAATATAAGCTCTCTGTCCCTCGTAAGGTGTTATCACTCCAATCTGTAAAATGTTGTATATGATCAAAATACTGTTGTAGATGATCAAAATACTGAATCGTAAAAAAGCACTGCACCTATGAAAAGTAGAGAAGATATGTACCTGGCTAGGGACTACACCACTCCTCAAAAACGTAGTTACAATTTTTTCAACATTTGCAGCCTCTGTACGATTTAGATAGGATGTCCCACTAGCACTTATCTCTTCTTGTCCCATCTAAAGAACAGCAATCTAGTTACAAAACACAGCCTTGGAAAAATATAACAGGATATAAACAAAATGAGACCAGTGATTTGCAGTGCGTTAAAAGCACTTGCCGGAATATTATTTAAGCTAATACTATGAGTATATTAATACAAATACATTGTCATAGTTGCTTTCCAATGCTATTCAGGTGAATATTATACCATTCTGATTCAGTATAAGCCCAAAAAAGAGAGACAACAAAGGTAAATGCAATAGTTGAGTATTATTCTTTTTGTTTAAAGAGACTGTAATATATGATAACCAATAGGCAAATATCACACCTGGACATAAAAGAACATTGGACGATTAGGCACAGGCCAAGGAAAATCAATGCCTGATGATTGTCTCTCATTGACCGTCACTCCATTTTGCAGAGTGCCTTCATAAAAGCTGTTAGATGGAAATTCAGAAAGAGATGGGTGCATGCGATATTGAACCTGAAATTTGAAAGCAGAAAACATAAGTTAGAAGCATCCTATGAAAGAAATTACATCTTCCTTGATAAAAAGAAATGTGAAATTGAGTGCAAAGCAACTCTTTTGAACCTCATGGATTCTAGGAGTACTAAAAAATATAAAGAACCATAATTAGCATTTCTCAATAACATTCTCACCAATGATAAAAAAAATGAGCAATCAACCGCTACGTTTTTGCAACTAAAGAAATTATCGATCATACCAAAAAGTGATGGAGAAAAAGAATTGCATAAATGCATTAAAAACTTGAGTCAGGCCAAAAATTTGCAAACACCAAATAACATATTTCGGGAAAGTCAAAAAATTGGGAAACTATTTGACCAATGGGAACAAAGCTAGAAAATTTGCTGGCAATGATGTATCCATTTTTGCGAAGACAGAACTCCCTCAAGACTTCTTGAGGCATAAAACATAATATAGACGTATCTGTATCAATGAATAAATTCAGCATTCTGTCTGCCGAGAGCCCCGCCCCCTCTATTTGTATTGAAGATGAGAGCATATGGTTGAGCTTTTAAAATCATATGGCATCTCATGAGCAAGCCAAAGTTTCAATTTGCATGGTTGACTTTTCACCTCTTATATCACCTCAATTTATAAATAAAGCTTAAAACATGTTTCAATCAGCAGCACAACAGCACAAGGCATTCCCTAGTAACAAACCTTACAATGCTTGCCAAAAACAGATTAATCAATCGCCTGTTCCCGCTCATCTATAAGAAGCAAGAGACCAGAAATCCATCTGATTTTCAACTAAATCCGATGTACATGTCGTTTGACCATCTAAAATATGCTCTAAAGCTCCTATACATCATACATCCTCCAAGAAAGATAAATGTCCTGACCATGTACATGAGCAGACCACACACAGAGAGAGAACTGACAAACAACAACATTACCTGCAATCTAATTGGTTTCACACCAAGTAAAACAAGGCGTTCAAATAGAGACTGGGCTAACCCAGCACGAGCAGCTTTCTTGCACATTATGACAGGACCAAGCTGGCAGTGGTCACCAACAAAAACAACCTAGCAGATAACTTGTCATCAGAAACTGAAGCATGCAATAGTAAACTGGGCATGTCAAAACAATCTCAAGTACCTGCTTTGCACCAAGTACCAAAGGAATAAGACACTCTGGTTCTGTCGCCTGAGTTGACTCATCAATAAGTACCTAAAACAGGGCCAAGGGTATAAGCTTCTGAGAGTGGAGTGAAAAAAGGTTAAAATAAGATGCATTTCTACCTGGCGAAACCTAAAATTTGCCAACCGAGGATCTCCGGCACCAACACAAGTGCAACAGATGACATCAGCACTTTGAGAAATTTCCCTTTCTGTTGCTCGTTTCAGTGCTTTGTATTTTTTCTCATCACTGCTGGACAGTTCTCCTGTTGATATAGGAACAGACAAGAGGGGAAAGAAAGAAAGAGAACAGTATTAGAGCAAGCTCAGAATGAAAATTTTATATAAAGGCTTGTATAAAATCTACAACACCAGACACAAAAGATATTATGTTTTCAGGGAAAAGCTATTTGTACAACTTCTAGTCATATCAGGCTCAAATCCTGAAGCTAATTACAGTTCCTCCTATGATTACTAAGAATACAATAAACCTCTAAAGGAATGAGTGACAAACCAACAAGTTTCCAAGTCATAGAATCCCACATATTTTGAATGCATATGAATGTGTAGGTGTGTGCAACTCACCTTGTTCATCTTTCAATTGTTGCAACTTGTGAAGTTCACTTTTCTCTGAAGTGTCTAGATGTCTAACCTGTAACAGTCACTAGCAATGAGAATCTATACCAAGAAAGCTAAAATACAAGAAGCACACATTGAAGAGAAAAAAAAAGGGAGGTGCCACTGATTTGCAAACCTGGTAGTGAAGGGTGAGATGCTCAACAGGAGAACTAACGGCTTCCCTTGATTTTGCACATAGCCTAACAACCTTAGTTTAGGAAATACAATCCACAAAAAAACAAAATCACGTCAAAATACTTATACTTGTTAATTTAAATGACCAGGATTACAAAAGACTTGTACTTGTTAATTTAAATGAACAGGATTACAAAAGATTTTGAGCACCCTGGCAGTCAGTGTAACATAACCTTAGTTGTTTCGTGTTACAATATAAAAATATGAAAACACCAGCACAATTTCCAAGGACTAGTTTTCTTTTTCAAAAATTTAATTTGAGCCTTCAACAACACAAGACCATCAGGGAACAAAAAAAGAGGAGAAAAAATTATGAAAATACCAGCAAATATTTCAAAGGACCGGTTTTCCTTTTCAAAAATTTAATTTGAGCCTTCAACAGCACAAGACCATCAGGGAACAAAAAAGGAAGCCTTAAGGATATAACTCACCATGTACTAATCCACACGAATCGAGATGAAAAATGGGCCCAGTAGTATAAAAGCCACACTTCCTTTATATGATTATTGGGCGCAAAAATGAAAGGAATAGTAGCACCCAAAAAAACTATTTCCAAATGAGTTAATCAGATAGCACGTTGTTGAGGAAGAAGTGAGATTAACAGCTTTGGAGATTGCCAAGACAAGGCTCCTGGTCTGTAAGTATACTTTTTCTAGTCCTGAAGGGTTAAAACTAAAGACGATCTCACTAGTGAAGGAAGCATGGATTCTACTTTCTTGATGTCTATTCCTAAAAGAATAGTTATATGAAGTCAGGGACTTCACGCCTTTCAACCTAGTCACCAGAGTGGCTGTTTTCACTAAGCAACTAAGTTTAGTCCAACAGATCAAAGCAAAGTATGACAATGCTATTTCTTAATGGACAACTATTTGCAGGGAAAGATGTTATTGAATAAAACAAGAATTTGCTAACCCAATTATTGAGTTTTGGGAAGGCACGGAATGCAAAATCATTTTGAAGATGCTATGTTGCTCTGCATTGGATTCGACTTTAAATGGTCAATTCCTCTCATAGTTGCTATGATGGGAAAGGATAAATTTTCTTAGTATCTCGCCTGTTGCTATTGGAAAATCTAGAAATGTGTCTTAGACTAATATGTGTGAAGATTGGAAGGCCTTCTTGTTTGATCTCAGTATCTGTACTTTCAGCATAGAGGAAGGTTTATTCTCTTTCTTGACAATCTTCTTTTGTCCATTCTAACAAACATTTTTTCATTACAAACATAACTCCAAATTTTCCAACTTAGGCGCACGCTTCAATGTTTTTCAAGAAAACACAACAGAACAACGGAATGCCAGGGCTTTGTTTTCTTACCTTTAAGCCAGTGGCACTTATCTTCTCAGCTAGCTGATCTACAGCTACATTACTTGGGGCACACACCAAAACCTAAAGTAGAAGTGGAAGTACCTTAGCACATGCAGTCAAATATCTGAATGAGACTGATTGTGAGCATTTTAAAGAACTTACCTGCCCTTGGCCCTGTTTGGCCATGTGATATACAATGGCTGCAGAAGTGACAGTCTTCCCCGTGCCAGGCGGACCTTGAATCAAACTTATAGGCTTCTGGAGCACATTCTTCACAGCAAGAACCTGCCAAGTGGAGAAAGGTAATGATCGCTTGCAGCAATGCACAATTAAACTAGGAATTCCATTAAAAAAATAGAATGTCAAGAAAATGGCAATAAAACAGAACTAAGCCGTGAAAAAAACCACAAGTTAATAAAAGTGATGATAACAATTTGCATTGCAATATGGAACCACAAATATCTCTGAAAAGTCTCAGCGACATTAAACTCAAAACATTGCAGCATCATAAGCCGCATAATTACCTTGCCATGTAAACAACAGGAAAGTCATTGATTTGTTGTGAACAAATCAATGAAAGAACAAGGACATGCATCTGACATCAAATATGATACAGCACATGGCAATGACTTTTTTGTTCTGACCACAAATAGACATCTTCAGTTCAAGAGTAATTGGTGGACAGAAAGTAAAGGAAAGATCCCGATTTACAAGTTAACAGAAATAAGAAGCAACATAAAGCCAAAACCATGTCAATGTGGAACTCAAGGACAGAAATCAATATATATCCAACAACCTATGAGACATCACCCAAAACTGTTAGCTTATGTTCTCTGCATTCAAGAAACTGCTGCACTTTTTGTCATAACAAGACCATGAAAGCAAAGATTTTCCAGTAGCGGTATCATCTCAAGAATCATTAGGCTGAACAGAAAGATCCTAGTTTGAGACAAGATGCATTAACATTCAACTACTTTGAACTTGTAAATTGCATGGGAGTTGAGACAGCATACTTGGGATGCATTCAGCTCTGGAAGACCGGGTGCACCAAAACGGCGAGGCAATGCATTTCGAACTGTTTGATTCTCAACCTCATGGCCCAACAAGTGGTGGTATATATACCTGAAGAAGGAAACTGGCATTATAAAGAAATTCAAAAATGGCAATCCATATTCAATTCACAAGAACTCTATATTAGCAGTGCCACACAACGGAAAAACAATGGGATATGCTAGCTCAACATTAACATACAGATCCACAATAATAGCACGCCACAAGCAAATAATAACTACCCTCAATCATAACATTAGATTCTATAAGATGGTGAAATGTTTCTAGCAAGCCTAATCTCAGCCCTGTTTCAGATAGAGACAAATCATCAAAACATGAGATAAACCAAAACATGACTCACATCCAGTTCTTATTGTCTGGTGTGTCTGCAATAAATAAAAAAATGCAAACAAACTCGAATCATCCAACCTACCCACTGACACTTGTTTCATCCACTGCAAAAGTTTTCATTGCTCCCTGCATCCGATCAAAGCTTGTACTCTTCCAAACAAAATCAACACTGAAACCATGGTTCACATCAACAGGAACACCCTGCATACAAACAATAACATTTAGCATTACTGAGCTCAACTTATAGAAAACCAGAAGTGAGAAATCAAGCACATTAGTATTGAAACTACCTGACTAGCACGAAGCTCAAGTGCAACCTCCTCTTGTGCAGTTAACTTGATCTGAAATAATGGATAAGTAACTTAATACCAGCATTAGAAGCATTTAGTCATGTATATTATTCCTTTGAGAGGGATGCAAATCACCTATTAATAATGGATTAAATTGAAAATAAATAGAACTAAGCATTGATATCAGAATAAAATTGCATACCACATGCCCAACTGATTGCCATGCTGGATGAGCTGCATCTCCAGAATAGCGCAATCGCAACTCATCACCAGGTACAAGACGCAACTCATTGTCCTCCTATCACATCAGCAGAACAGCTTCCATGAAACAAGAATACAGACAGAAGCAAGCAGACAACAGAAATCAAGCAGCACATGGAAAAAAAGAAAAAGACAATAATAAGCTAAACTAAGACACATGTTTCTAAACCAGAAGGACAGTAACAACCTACATTGAACCACATATTTCTAAATGACCTGGAGACAGAAGGGAGAAGATGTTGCAATTTACAATAGAGTTTAAAAAATGAGAGAACCAAAGCAAGAGAGAGTATGGCACCTTTGGAAATACAAAATATGCAACACGCTTCTTGTTAAGGCCAACATCCCATCGAATAGTGACATTATCCTTGCTTTGAGACTCTTTCATCATCTATAAGAAAATAGCACTATAAGAAGCTGCATAATCTTTTGAAGTGTTGGAGACTTAGATTTTATGGCAAGAACAATAAAACCTAAAAAAAAAAGGAGAAAAAAGAGGTGCATACCTTATCATAGTCAGCTTCGAGCTTAATAAGTGGAGCAAACACATTTTGATACTGCAAAAAAAAAAAAAAAAAAAAAAAAAAAAAGAAGATCATCATCTCATCAGGTAAGAGAAATAATTAAATTATTATACTTCCTGGCTTACTCAAGTTACATATCAAACTTAATTTAACAGCTATAATTAAACCAGGCACCTGATATGCATCTTCATACTTCAATGCCACAGGCTGAGGCTCATCATCAACACCAGGCTTCTCAAGATCTTCAAGGGTGGCATCAGGATTCGTTTTCCAAAGTTCTTCTACTTTATTTATTTGTTGAGCACTAATTTGTCGTGCCCTCAACTGCTCCTGTTCAGATGGGATCTGCAAAATACAACATATAATGAAGTTCTAGAAAAAAAAGAACCCTTTGCAGATGAACCAGAAACTACCAACCTTCACGAGCCATTGTAAAAAACACCTATCATCAATCAGGGGGCACCACTGGCTCAGGTCCCAGTTCATGTCCTTCAGTGCATTAACATTCAAGCAAGGTTCCCTACAGAGGAGGACAACAACACTCTCTGTCTTGGCTGATATAAATCCCAGAAGAAATACATTTCGGCAACCACAGTTGTAGCACTCAAGTATTGTTTCTCCCAGAGGGCTGTCTTTATGGAGACAGACTTCTTTATGCTTTGCTCGAACCTAAAAGATGTTCCAACAAAATAAAACTCAATTCAAAAGCAATATGAAAAATAGTGAAAATGGTGCAACGCAAAATCAGCTGCTTTGATCAATTTTACAGAGTGAAAATACATGGCATGGAGGCATGAGGTGACAAATTCATTCTGAAGTACAGCACTGAAATATTTTAGGACATTTGCAAAATTAGAATCCGCAAGTGTAATGGTCATTATTAACTACAAACCAAAACCAATTCCACATTACTAGCTTCCTCGAGACTTCTTCAAAAACAATTTTGGTTAAGTTTAAACCTCCAGGCATGATTACAGGTAATGAACATTCAGCTGCAGTTGTCAGATGCAATAACATTTTGTGTTATAACATCAACCTTCCACACATATTCAGGTCTAAATACCAAGTGAGATAACCTAATTCAAAACAAAATACTCTAATTCGAAAAAAAAAATGCCACACATAATCTAAATGGAACCAGATTTTAAATTTAATTCACTCAAAGATCTAACATTTTCACTCTTTAACATATTTCCCAGCAATTCCATTACTACGGGCCACAGACTAATCAGTAACCACTCCATTTTCAATCCCATAGATCATTAAAAACACAAAAAAATCAAACAAAGGAAAAGCACAAACAAAACTCACCAGATGATTAACAATATGCGAACCAGAGGTATTGCCTCTCGAATTACAAAACCACTTCCTACAGGACGGCACATTACACCTCACAACACACGCAGGATTCGAAACTCCACAGTACCGACACGCGTGCTCCGTAAAATCCCCTTTCCCAAACTCATACCCATCATCATCTCCCGTATCTTCAAAATTCAACCCCCCCATACTCGCCACTAAACCCTCCACCACCCCCTGGGTCGTCCCGGTATTCGCTCCTCCGCCGCGCGAAGTAGATTTGGACGCGACAGGGGACGCGGCAGGAGAATCAGAGTGGTGATCGGAGGCCGAAGCGGCGGCACGGTGGTCGGATGAGACAGGTTCTACGGCGGAGGAGTTAGCCACAAGCGAATCGGAAGGAGTGGGCCAGGCCACCGGAGAGCGGAATTCGGGGTAGTCAAAATCGGATTCGCCTTGTGTGTTAAATTCAAGGAAGGTGTAGGCGTCTGTTGCCGTGTCTGGTTGCGACGCCGTGTCGTAGAGGTTATTGTCTTGGGGATCCATGGAGATTATTAGGGATTTTTATCCGATTATGTTTTTTATTTTTAGGGTTAGGGTTTGGAGAGCGAAATGCGAAATTGAGATGAATGGGAGGGGAGAGTTTTTATTTGGGTGTTTTAGGGAGGGGAAGAAAGTGAAAGACGCGCTTCACGCGCTGGTTTAATTGGGCGGAGGACGTGGGACTTTAGGGTAAAGGGCACGTAAAATTGGAGGGTTTGGGGGAAAAATGGGGCACGTGAGATGGCCGGGGCGGCGTTTGCACTCTTTGATACGGCAATTACGTTTGTTCTACTGAGCCTGAGCGCGTGGGGCTTTTATAGCAAAGAGGCCAATTACTGTGATTTCCTGCGACGTTAATGATGTTAGAGGGTAACGAATGGTTCTTGCTTGATCAAGTTTATGTATGGGGTTTAATTAATCAATTGGCAAACATCAAATGTATCACCAACTTATTGGAGTGTTGTCAATTCTACACTCAATTTATATTTTATCAATTTTAACACTAAATTATTTCTTAATTAAGGATTTTTGTTAGAATCAATTAACAAAAAAAATTAAGTCTCTACAAGATGTTGTCATTACTAACAAAAAAGTACAATTTAGATGGAAATTTGAAAAAAAAAAGTCTTAAAAATAGAAGAAAGTCTTTTATTTGACAATTTTCTGAAAGTTTTAGAGTAAAATTGATATCAAATTTTGTTTGACAGTAACATTGAGACTAACTGTATAGTTAGATGGTATTTTTTCAAATTCACCCTTAATTAATTTAATGAATGAACACCTCCACCCCTCTTAACATAAGCTCAATTTATAGCTGACCTAAAAATATAATCTTTATAGTTTTGAAAAGATAAATACAACCTATATGCATGAAATAAAGGTTGACATTACTAGTTGTAACATAAATATGATATAACACAAACTAACAATTGTTGAAGATACACAACATTTTAGTAAATAAAATAAAGATATATCTTTCTAGTAAATAAGATAAAAAAAAACTAATATATGCAAAAAACTACTTGTAATAATCAATTTTTCCCTTAATATTTATTTAGACATACAATTGCTTCAAATTTGATCCACACCAATACGTAATTAGAAATATTAATTATTGATGATTTCATGTCTTTTATTTTAGAAAAATAATTGTTTGAGAAAAGTCTCAATTAACCCTTAATATATTACTCTCGTTATCAATTGAGTCTTGTATTTTTATTTTATTTTATCAAGTTTGTCTTAGATGCGATTAACATTAGATGATGTCACCTCTCAATACATCCATTGTTAGTGATAGATAAATATTTTGTCTAATTTGAATATGCTTGTTAAGTGTTTTCTTTAAAAGTATCGAAATAAACTCTAACCTAATATTACAAATAATTTTAGCACCAAATCATAATAAATTTTTCTTTTACAGTGCTAGTGAGTGATAGAAAAAAATTATTATGGTTTGACACTAAAAATATCTTATAAGATTTATTTGAGTTTATTTTGATGCATTAGATAAAAACACTCGACGAGCATGTGCAAATTGGATTGAGTATTTAATTATTGTTTATAGTGGATAGATTAAGGGATGACATTACCTATTGGCCATTATGTTTAGACTAAAAAGTGAGTGATAGGAAAAAAATTATAATGGTTTGACACTAAAAACATCTTTTAAGATGTATTTGAGTTTATTTTGATGCATTAGATGAAAACACTCAACGAGCATGTACAAATTGGATTGAGTATTTGATTATTGTTTATAATGGATAGATTGAGGGATGACATTGCCTATTGCCCATTATGTTTGGATCAAAATTAATAAAATAAAAAAAATGAGAATCAATTGATAATGGGATAAAAAATTTAGGGACTAGATTAAAATTTTCTTCAATTCTTGTGTTACATGCAATTATAAAGACTAACAATATTTATTAACTTCAGCATTCAAAGATTATTCATCGCTTTGTATTTTGTTTAATTGAGCCACGTGTATTCCGATTAATAATCACATATTAAAATTGATATGATTTTTATTTATATTTTTTAAAAGCACATAAAAAACCTCAATAAAATAAAACATCATTTTGATATAGTTGTAGATTAATACATATGATCTAAATCGATGAAATATGCAATGGCATATACTCTTAAAGCACTCGTAACTAAATTCCTAGTTATCTATGTAGCGGTGAAGAGAAGAATGATACAAACGAAGTTCGGTAAATAAAAGAATCCCTTAGAGTTTTGCTTTGGGATGGGCTATGACAATCTAAGTTCGAAAATTTTCAATTTAACCTAATATCTCAAGCACCCTCCAAAGAAAAAAAAATATCATAATCTATCCTTGGTCATTGTAACTCAATTGGTTGGAAATTCATCCTAGAAGTTTCCTTTATTCCGCCACCTCCTCTCATAAAATCTTAGTCGTGTCACTAACAAGAAGTAACATTTACCTAAGGTTTTGTAACAAAATTGAGAAGCATATGCCTTAACCTTCTTAACAAAAGGAACAAAGCACCACCAAATCATCTTTTCATGTGATTTTCGTTTGATTTCTTTCATGGGCGATTCGAAAAACACATGGAGTAGACACTCGTTATTTCAGCTTTTAGAAACTAGACGGTGACTAATTTCACTAGCATCATGCAAAGGTCTCTACAATCTATTTGACCACTCCCCCAACGCATGCACACAAAAGAAAGAAAAAAAATTGAAATTCCAAACCACTTTAGGAGAAAACGAACATAAAATGATTATAGCTATGGATCGATGATACGTAATTACCCAACAACAAAAATGAGCACTTCTAAGGACTAAATCGGCCCGAGAAAAGTTCAAAGTTCTGTTTGTTCCTTTCACTTCTCAATCTGCACAAACAAAAACACCTATTATCTTTAAGGATGAAAATTTCCTTAAGAACACACCCGACTTAAAGAACGGACCCTTATATACAAACCATTTGATAGATATATAAACAATTACTTTCATAATAAATAAAAGAATCTTATTAATTAACAAGATTATAAATCATAAAAAAAACTAAAAGAAGACTATTCACTTATTGTAGCTCCTCACCCAAAGTCACTATTCATACATTTCTTATTGCTTTTTTGGTCCTTTTTTTTTAGAAATAAATTAATTAGTCCATTTGGCTTGAAAACTAATTTTTTGGTCATTTTTACCATTATACTATTTTTTTTTAAGAAATAAAAAAACCAAAAAATAATTCTTTGGGAAATAAATTAATTAGTCCCTTTGGTTTGAAAACTTTTTTTTTTTTTTGTCTTTTTTACCATTTTTATTTGTTGTTTTAAGAAATAGGAGTAAAAAAAAAAAAAAAAGTAAAATATGAAAAAAGACATTTTATTTTTTTGAAGAAAATTATATCATTAAATCAAAAGTATCTTAGTATTGTATAAAGAGACCATGAAATCCTATATTAGGTTGTTTTAGTAATCCTTATTCATTCTCGTGTAATTGTATAGATTAATGTGGGTGAAAAAAGAAATGAGAGAAATAAAAATAAATGCAAGTAGAGGGAGGTACGGATTGTTTTTGAGATAAGGAATTGGAAAGAAAGAGGTGCAAATAAATTTCAATGATTCATAAAAGTAACAACTAGAGACCTTGTTTCTTTTTACTTCTCAGGACCGCCATGTAGAATTAAGAAAATGATAAATTGGAAGATTAAAAAAATGATCTTAGAAAAAAAAAACAAAAAAATAAGTAAAATATGAAAAAGACATTTTATAAAATAAAAAAATAAATTATTCATGATCAATAATGATTAAAAAACTAAATAGTTTATTTTTGAAACCAAAAGAATTAATTAATTCATTTCTTAAAATGAGATGAACTAATTTATAATTTAATCTGCAATTCAAGAATCTCTTTCATCGTAAATTAAGAATTTATGAAAACCAATTTTGTAACAGTTTTTTATTTCAATTTATTGATTTTAATATATTTCATGTAGCTTAGATGATTTTTTGTTTAAAAAAAATTTATTTATGCAATATATTCTGAACCTACTAAATAAGATCAAAATATATATATTAAAAATTAATTATGTATAGAATCAATTATTTTTATTTATTCCCTTTTAGGTTCTAAAATCAATATTTTTTAAATAAAATAATTGAAATAATGTTTTAGAAGAACCTTTCAATTATTCAAATATAATTTTTATACTAATATTATTGATTATTATGTTAATAAATAGATATAAATCAAATGATTTTGCTTAGCAAATAGATTTGATTTATATTAATTACGAGAAATAAGATTTTTATCCGTATTATATCATATGAATCGTTGACTTTATGTATATAACGGTTATCCTACCGCATGGTAGCATTGGTATTCAACTAGTATATACTCGAAACTCAAATAAGTATAGTACATTGATTGTGTGTGTATTAGCATCTTTGAATGAGGCAAGTTTAACCATATACGGGAGGTCGGAGATTTAAATCCTAATTTTGTTAGAAGCCTAGAGGATGTGTGTGAATTGTAAAAAAAATGAGGCAAGTTTAGAATTCTAATTTATGTTATTTAGTTATTAGATAATAAAAGACCATCTTCATTATATAGTCCAAAGTCTACATGTCTTCGAGTAAAAAAAAATAATAATAATAATAGAAGGTATCACCGTTTTTATTGGTCTTCTATCACATATGCTATGAAAATTACAATCTTGACCTTAAAAAAATTAGTGATATTTTACATTTGACTTTACTCAATTATACATGAAAAAAAAATCACTATATCTCTTATACAAGATTCAAAATAACTCGCCAAAATACTTTGCTATTATCATCCACGAAATTAGAATTTTTTTATGAGTTAATTGATCCATCTACTTGACATATTGAGTGTATTCTTCTATATATATTTTTAAAGAAATTTTCACTCTTATACGGCCTTATACATTTACATTTTTCTTCATATGCCCTTTTTCACCTTTTTGGATGAAAATCTATCAAACACCTAAAAGAAAAATTGATTTATAAAAATGTGAAAATTTTATCAATTTTATTTATAATAATAAAAAATGTGTTTTTTAAGGAAAAAAATAAAAAATAAAAGCCTAATGCAAAACCCAAAAAAATACAAAAATTGAAATTAACACACACACACACACAAATATATAAACATATCCATAGATTCTATATTTAGATAGACCTTGTAGAAATACATGCATACCAATACAATAACGTTTGCAAAATATGCATCTTTTTAACTTTTCTTTAGTTTTTCTATGTTAGTGTTATATTTTTATGAGTTATTTATTTAATTGTTTAGGATGTTTCAACTTTTTATGTTTTTAGATTTTTTTTCCTTTTGTTTTGATTTTTCTATTTTCTTGGTTTTTCCAATCTTGTTAATTTTTTAAAAGTCTTATGCATTTTTTTTATGTAGTCTTATAGATATTTTTATCCAAAAGTGACATAAAAAACATATAAAGAAAAATATATAAGATCATATGGAAACACAAAATTCTTAAAAAAGTTATAAAAGAATACACTAATATATAAAAACAGATGGATGCATTCTTCTTTTTATTATTGTTATTATTTATTTTTACATCATGGAATTAACTCCTCATGCCCATCGTGATAGCCAAACTAATCCCTCCTAACCATTAATATATATCTCGATTTGTAAATTACAAAACATTTTTTAATTTAAATATAACTTAGCGAGCTTTACGAGTCAAAATCCCAACCTTTCATACTTGTTTCATTGCGATACAATAAGTATTCGCAAGAATGACGTAAACATACAAGTATAAACATAACACTACCAAAAAAAAAAAAATTATGTTTAAATTTGAATTAGGATATTCTCTAGGCAGCAAAAACTATAATACCATGTGCTCACTTTTTAGGCATAGTATACATACGTTTAAAACCTTGGCCTTTTTTTCATCATCAAAACCCTAAGCTTTTTAAAACCATCTTACCATGCATTTTGCTTTTCTAGTTTCTTTCTAATCTAAAATTTCTCTCATTTGGTCCATTGCACCTACTATTTTCTCGAATGAAGTAATTTCTTATGGGCAAGTGAATATTGTCATAACTTGGACACAATAAACCATTGTACTAATGCGCTCTATTGATTTTTGATAGACTTGAATTTCAACATTTTTTTTATAGTATGAGCATGAAGCTAATTAATAACTCCGTAGTTCCAACTAAAGTATATTAATAGCACCGCTTTAATAATACCGGCTATGGATAAATGATCGGCTCATCCGATAAAATCATGAGTTCACCAATCATCGAGTGAATTTAGCATATCTTTACCTATTCAACGAGACACAAGGAACAATAATACTTCGTGAACTTCTCACATTCGAGTGCATCATCCCCCTTCTCTTGAATGTACCTAAAATTAATCCACGTTGGAGTTGGTGAAAAAGAAAAACTTGTAAGATAATGAATAATTTCTTATCTATATCACATATATATTAATCGATCCTCGTTTTCTTTAAAAAAATTCATAAATTCTTGCATGTTTATGTTTTGTGTTTTCATTTCACACTCGTTTACAAATAAGGATCACGGATGAGAAAAATACGAGTAATCGCAAAAGTAACTCCAACTAACACACAATCTGAAAAAAAAAAAAAAAAAGAAACCTCCATCCGACATTTCTTGTCGGACAATGAGACCTATATAATATTACATTATAGATGGAAATATAACGAGTAGAAAGGAGAAAGATAAAAGAGTAGCTAACTATACGCATATACACTCACTTCGGTACTCAACGTAATGAGTGTAGCAATGACGGGTTTGGTACTTTGGTTCATATTCGGAAAGCGTATATCGACGGTGTCTGCTTTTTTTCCTCCTCCTGCTCTTTATTTGAGTATATCAATCAAGTATTTTTTTGTTAATTTTTTTATTAAATGATAACGTCTTCGATGTCCTTAAAAAAACAAAATTACAATTTTATCTTCTTTTTTCTCATTTGAGTATTTGAATTTTTTTTTATTTGAGTACATCAATTTTTTTTTAACTATTAATCAAATATCTTTCATTATTTTTTTCATTAACCGATAAAGTATCGATTATCCATAAATATAAAATTATGATTTTTTTTTTGTTGGAGTCTCTTAACCATTTTAAAATTTGAAAAAAAAATAAAAAAAATTATTTTATATATATAAAATTTCAAATTAAATTCAGATAGGTTTAGGGATAAAAATTGAAGAAAAACACAAATGTGAGATTTTTTATTAAAAAAAACTCATTGCTTTTAAACATTAGCAAACAATGTTTTTTCAACAAAAAAAAATAAAAATCATGGCTTGATATTCTAAAGATAATAAAATGTTATTAATTAACGAAAAAATTGACGAAAATATTTAATTGAAAATTCTTAAAAAATTGATATTCAAATGAAAAAAATAAAATTCACGTAATCTATTAAAAAAAAAGATAGGCAAAGTTATAATTTGATATTATAGAGATAATGAACACGTCATTAATAATGAAAAAATTAGAAAAAATATTTGATTAATGGTTTTGATAAAATCGGTATACTTAAATGAAATGAAAAAAAATTATATACTTAATTAAAAAATTAAAAATTAATGTACTTAAAATGCAATTATCGCAATAAGTAACTGCAAATAAGGAATCACGCGCCAGGAGCGTGAGAGAAAATCCAGCAGTATAAAATTAATTTACAGTGATAGGCTAGCAATTTCACCATTCGACAATCCCTTCCTCAGACTCAAGAGTCACATACAGGGCTTTCATTTTTTCAATTTCTTCCAAAACCAGCAGTCGCCACACCAGCAACCATGTTACGCCAAGCATCGCGCCTATTGACTCGATCCATCGCCGCCACTCAGCAACCGATTAAGGTGGTGGGTGCTCGACCCATGTCGACGGACTTGCCAGCCACACCCGTCGAGGACTCAGCGTTTGTTGAATCATGGAACAAAGTGGCACCAAACATTGACCCACCTAGGACTCCATCGGCTTTTATGAAGCCTCGTCCTCCCACTCCTTCTACTATTCCTTCTAAGATCACTGTCAATTTTGTTCTTCCTTATGCATCTGAGCTCTCCAACATGGAGGTTTGTTTTTTCTTTTCCTTTATTTTATGTGGGTTTTTTTTGTTGGTGTATTACTTCATATGGGTTTTGTTTGGATTGGGAGATTATAGCATTTAATTTGAGTTATTTGTTTTTCATTATTATTATTGTTATTGTTATTTTTGGTAGCTGACTGGAGTTTTGTTACACTTGGGGTTTATTTTATTGTTTTTTTTTTTTCAATTATGTGATCGTTCTCGGATATTTTCCGAGTACAAATTGTCTAACTTAACAAATACTGTTTTTTTTTTAAAAAATAAATCTGATTAAATTTTGGCATACCTGATGATATTCATTTATGGGTGGGTATTGGCTTGAATTTATTTGGTTTTAATGATTTTCTTCATTCGGGATTTGTTTGTGTTTTAATTTTGTATGTATTGATTTTAGATTATTTGATATTACTTTTTGATGTTACGTGGATGTGCTTTTGTATGTTTTCTTAGTTTGTATTGAAAGTAATCAGTTACTTGTGCGATTATCAAGAGTTGTGGTTTCCTTGATGCACACATTGGCTTGCATATTTGAAGGATTATAGCATAAAATCTATGCTGGTCTGATGTTGTAAGTATAGAGGTTCAGTTGGAGGTCTTATATCTTGGTCGCTAGATTTCTGTCTTTGACTTTATTCTGGTTTCTTTACATTTATGTGCCTTGGAAGTCTTTAAATTTTCACTTAAATGGTCTGAAAAGCTTTCAATCTGGATATTTTCATTACATTGACTAAACTGGGATGTGTTCTTCTTCATCTGGGCTGATTATCTTTATTATAAAATTGCATATGATGTTGGGTTAGTTATGCTGATTGAACATTTAATGTTCATATAGCCTCAATTCAATCAATTCGTCATTTAGTTAACTGATATTCTTGATTGAGACATGTAAAGTATCTCGAGATTCTTTCTTGACCAGAATTTGGTACCTCTGTTAATAGGGGCAGTTTCCAACTTCTCTTGGAACTCCTCATGACTTCTTCTTGCTCCTCCTCTTCCCGCTCCTTTTTCTTCTTTGGTTGCTTTTTTATTCTGTCTCTGAATTCAGTCTCTCAAGGTGCAAAGTGCAAGCTTTGGAGTGAACGATTTAGATTTAAAACTAGAAAGTCTGGCCTTTTTTACCAAATGCACTCCAATGATGACTACAGTAAATGGAGAGGATGAGGTTGAATGACTGTAGCATTTGGGATAAATTGGTGACATGCCTAGTATGATCAATTATCTATGTTTTTTTCTGGGACTGTCTGGGATTTACCTCTTTAAGCCTTTGTATGGGTCTGAACTCCCTGTGGTTCAGTCAGTGGCTGCTTGGAACTTGGTGCTTGTGCTTTCTAATTTATCACCCACTGAAGCTGTTCTTACTTTCACACTTGCTGTTCGCTTTAAAAAGAGAACGCAGGAGATGTAATAGAAATTTGATCATTGTTCAATGTTAGAGGAGAGTGACTAAGGTCAAAAGAATTATAATCTAAATAAACCAAAGCCGTTTTATGTGCTTGGTGGAGTGTTTAAGTTGATCTACATTTTCTCACCCAGTTGTAAAAATTTTCCATTTTAGTTTAAACCTTTTAAATCTTCTTACTTCGATATTGCTAAAACCTCTCTAGAAGCTAGCCTCATGGCTTTACCTTTGTGTGAAGTGATATTCACTTCTGGCTTATTGAATGGTTTATAGCATGATGTACTTCCCGACATGTTGATTTGGGCCATGCTATGGGAAATAATCATCTGGTACATTGACACAGGTGCTACAATTGGTAATCTGTACACTGTACATACAGAATGGATGAATTACCAAATGTTGGCAGTTCATGCATAGGCCTTTTTTAAAATGCATACACATTCTTAACAATCATGCTTGTTGTACTTCCATGGACTTTTGCAGGTTGACATGGTCATTATACCAGCAACATCTGGGCAAATGGGTGTTATGCCAGGGCATGTACCCTCTATTGCAGAACTGAAGCCTGGGGTCTTATCAGTCCATGAAGGAAATGATGTGAAAAAATACTTCCTTAGCGGTGGGTTTGCTTTTGTTCATGCAAACTCGGTTGCTGATATAGTTGCTGTTGATGCTGTTCCAATTGACCACATTGATGAGAACTTGGTTCAAAAGGGGCTAGCAGATTTCAATCTGAAGCTCAGCTCAGCTACAACTGAGTTGGAGAAAGCTGAGGCCCAGATTGGTGTTTATGTTCACAGTGCTCTCAACTCAGCTTTGGCAGGCTGATGGTCGTCATCATTCTGTCTTCAGTTTTTCTCGCGTTGCTTCCTTATTGTCTGGTTGATCTTGCCTCTATAATCAGTAAACCATTAGTCTGTCAAGATATGCCTTTGCGGTATTCTCAGGGATTTAAATAAAGCCTTCAAAACAAGACAAGTGTTTCTCCCTTTCTTCAAGACAACTCTCAGCTCAGGATGATACTTTTTTTCCAACTGATTAAGTCAGTTTTTTAAAAGTGCGATGACACTAAATTGGAATTTCCCTGGTAAATTGAGTTTGCTGTTTATATAGCCAGACCATTTGAATGACTTTTGAGTTCAGGTGCCTTTTGACTGATTTTTAATTAATGATCATTGAGACGGAGGATTTGGTTCAGAGTTTGACTACATTGTGCATCCCCTACAATCTTGCAGGCACTATAATGTAAGAAATCTGCTCAAAGGGTTTTTTTTTATCGAGTTGCTGATAAAATTGCGATCCGTACAGATAACGTGTCAATATTTTGGTTTGTTATGGCACACCGGAAACCATAGTCTTAAGTCTCAGATTTATGAGATTGCACACCGAAGTCCAAAACAAACATTTTTAGATTTAGTTGACACCTCGAGCATCGGTCAAGTCAAATCATACAGCAGATCTACCCTCTATGTGGATAGACAGAACAGAGAGCAAGTTATCAAGGAGCGTAACTTGTATTCTTTTACTAACCATCCTCTATACTGTGCTCCATTGCAACTGAATCAGTAATTGTCATATTCCTTAGATGGGTCCTTGTAAAAAATTGGCACATATCATAGTATATCAAACAGAATAGGGGAAATGCGTAATACTTCCAGATTAAGCTTCCAACAATTCTCATTTGATCTTCAAATCAGATGTATATGGTCCTCCACATATTAATGAGTCACACTATGACGTGGGTGGTGATATTATAAGAAACTTAATAATAAACCTGTCAGACCAGCCTCAACTTTCAGAACAAATTTACAATTTTCCATCACCATCCCATGTAATCAAATGGCTGGCATTGCCTAGCTTCATTAAATAAATAACTTATACACAATATCATAATCATACAAAACGAACAAAAGCAGCAGGGGTGCAGAAATCATAGAGGAGCGGTGGCTTACCCGCTATAAATACAACCACATGAGAGGAAAAAAAAGAAACTGGATTCATGGGAAACTTTTCAAAGATGACAAATGTTAAGGTCCCAGCAATTGAACTTGCCTTTCATTGTTGGACCATCGACCAGTAGAACATGATAGCACTTCTTTTGATCACTGATTGCCGAAAGCAGCAGCAGAATAAATTTGATATCTGTCTGCCAATAGATGTGGGAGAAGCCAAATGCCATGTCACCAGGGATTGGTTAGATATAGGCCTAGGGCGTTCTGTCATAATTTTGAGTGTTGTCTCCAAGGGCAACCGCCTTCAAACGCTTGCTCCAACACATCTTCCATTCGCTTAGCTAGTAAAATCTGTCAAAATGAATGGGATGCACACAGATGAGGCAAGCATCACAAGAAATGTCTACCATCTGACTACCATGCTTAAGTTTTGTATGGTTTAGAAAATCTTAAATAGAAAAGATTTCTCAATGTGAAAGTACTTTAGCATGATCAAACTCTCCTCGAAGAGAGGAAATTAGATGAATATGGAAATTCTGGTAATTGACCTGTTCTCATCTCAAACAGCCCATTCAAGGGCAATTTGTGACCACACTACCAATGAATTCATAAATGTTAAGCCTATCATTTTAAGCAAAAGAATATATCTGCCATCTCACATTCCTTTTAAACATGACCAGGAAAGTGGTAAATAAATTAAAAAGGTAAGGGAATTCTAGATTCAATATTAGAATCTAAAAAAAGAGTAAAGGCAACAAGAATTGACAATGTGGTTCCATGATAGACTACTAAATATCTGTAACATGAACTGATAAAACAGACTTCCGCTTCAAACAGAAATAGAATTACCTCAAGACTGCCAAGTACAGCAGCGGGTACTTCAACCAAATCCTTCAAATTTCTCTCTGGCAGAATCACTCTCTTAATGCCATAGCGGTGTGCTGCCAATATCTGCAAGAGAACAATCTAAGAAACTGCACCTCTGATATAAGCATGACACGAATGGGAGAAGCTGAGCACCTAAGCTGATAAATTTCATGGCTAAGAGACGGTGTTTCTCCCAAACTAATGGTTAACGTTCATTTTTTTAACAATTGATACAATGCATTTGTTAATCAAGTATTGCATAATCATCAAATTGACCACAAAAACATCTATGCACAACTCCAAGCTATTAAATTAAACATGCATATATGACATAACAAGCACAAGATATTAGCAATATCCACAGCCAAGCTACATCACTTACCACACTCCATTTTACAACAATATTTGAATTTCTTAAGAAATGATACAGAATTTGCAACGGGCCTATCAATCAGCTTTCCCAACTGCTTAGCCAAGCAGTTGTCAAGGAATGCAGAAGATTTTTTAGATGATCCTAATAATTTGAATGGAAGAAACCGTTATTTGCCAATGCTTGGAAGAACATCAAGCTTAAAACTGAAGCCTAAACTAGAAGTCACCAATCCAATCCAATTCAACAAAAATACGATGTGTACGGAAACACAATAACAACAAATGTGTTTACATTTGCAGCAAGAACACATAAGACCAGGTAAAGCTGCAAAAATGTTGGCGTTTCCAGCAAGCACAGAAGCTAAGGTGTTTCACAGGTCAAGAAAAGTATATCTAAGGCCTTAATTATAATTTAAAAAAGAACAGCTACTCACGTGGCACAAGAACTCCATTTATTAAGCTTCAAATGGAAAAAGAATGCCAAAATTTCATTTATTGTGGTATATGCTTCAACTTGAAAGAATGCCAAAAGAAGTACCAGAGGTGAAACCAACAGCTCTTATCATACCACATCTCTGTTACATTCCTCTCTTTTAATGGATAAAACTAAAGAAACTAGCTGATCAAGTGACTATACCTTATCCTTGATACCGCCAACAGGAAGCACAAGGCCCCTCAAAGTCATCTCCCCAGTCATAGCTGTATCTGCTCTTACTCTTTTCTGACTAAACAGTGAAACCAGAGCTGTTACCAATGTCACACCAGCTGAGGGCCCATCCTTAGGTACAGCACCAGCAGGGAAATGTATATGAACATCTCGACCCTCAAGAAGATTGGTTTCGTCAGCAGCTGCCAACTTAAGATCAGCTGCCCTTGCTCGTACCTACAGCATAGAAGATTCAAAGCATAAATATCTCTAAATAATTTTCCATGAGTAGAAAACATAGCATCTCTTTTTTCCTTTCCTTTTTTTGTGATTTTATTTCCAACCATACATTTCAAACAGAGAAAGATGCCGCATCCTCTAATGTAGGGAAAAAAAGCATTTCACCGGCAGTTTAACGGCAATTTAAACCATGGTCTTCATCAATAGCAATGATTATTCACTTCATAATTCTATAAAGAACGCAATAATGATCGGGGAAAATTTAAATTACCCATGTCAGTGCTATTTGTGCTGATTCTTTAATTACATCACCAAGTTGTCCAGTGAGATGTAGTTCACCCTTTCCTACCATTGCTGTAGCCTCCACAAACTGAACCTCTCCACCAAAGGCAGTCCAGACAAGCCCAACTGATATACCTGGGGATGCAACACGCTCTGCAGCTTCTCTGTCATCAAACCGTGGAGGCTGCATCACAGTAAAAGATCGTCAGAAGTGGTCAAAATTACAACAGACCTCACCTACAACATTATGTAATTGGACAAACCACAACATCCACTCAATACAGAAACTGTTTTGGCTTCGGACCACATGATACATGGGAATACCTAGCAACAGCGGAACTATCGGATCATGCTAATATTCAAACTCCGACAAAAATGAGGTAGGTTGAGCAGTTTAACTTTGTCCATGCATGACAAAACAAACAACAGGATGCCAGCAGTACAGTTATCATGCTTGGCTTTTGACCCATGCCAATTCTATCAAAGTAACTGAAATGCCCAAAACAGAATCCTGCTCAGTGCTCTCAATTTGGAAAAAGGAAACCATCAAACGTAACCAAATGTCAAATATATTTTAAAATCATCCAAGTGAGCCTGCCATGCAAGTGCTTCAATGTAAAGAACATCTTCACAATTAGGTTCCAGCAACACAAGATTAATACCCTTATGTACCATAGTGAACCACCTGGATCTAATTGCTAAGCAGATGAATATCACAAAAAACAAACCCATTAAAATAAACTTGTTAATGAATATAAGATCAGCAGCATCCAAACATAAAGTATCCTGCTGAAATCAAGAAACGATGAGAAGAATTATTACCCCTAGTACTTTCTCCAGCATAGGTTCATCCACAACCAAGGGTGAGGCAATGCTGAATGTGTTTGATATCTCATGATTGCTTTCATTCATTGGTATAACTTCCATTTCTACTTCAGCTCCCTCAGCAAGTCTGTTCTCCAACAATGGTGAAGCAAGCTGATGCATATCTTTGCTCAATGGGACAGCTTGTTCTTGCTCTGCAACTCTTACAGCTGCAGCACGAGCCAAGGCAGCCAAGTTTCTCTCCAGATTGCGTACACCTGCCTCCCTTGTGTATCGCTGAATGACAAGTTTCACCATAGCCTGCAATATTGGAAAGATGTTCAGGATTTATATTCCCTTGCAACATATATATTGCAGATTGTTACAGAATATGCAATAACTTGTGAAGTAAAAATTTCTCACCGAGTTCTTTCCTTTTGTTTCTCATTCTCTTTATGGTCCTAAAGACGGAAGATACTAAAGACATGGATTCTTAATGTTGGAAGAAGTATGTAATCAGTTTGCCATATGTGAGACAGACAACTTTGAAGATATTATGTTAGCCAGATGGTCATGGTGAATTCAACTCACCACCATCCCAAACTAGATGGCGTAACTACATGGATCTACTTCCTCCATTCAAATTGATTATGAGAAACTTTCAGTAAGTTGTCATGATCAAAATCTGTTTTTTATCACTACAAACTATGTCAATATTTGTCTGCCTATCCCTCTAATCACTCAAATACTTCAATCTTATCAAGGTTGCCATGGAATCCTGGCATCCATAAGTCAATATTGGATGAACCACATCAGATAAAAAACAATGCAGCAAGTGGAAAAAGCATTTAGAAAGAAAGAAATGCAATGATTGGATGACTTGAAACATATCGATGAACCACTTCAGAAAAAAACAAGCAACAAGTGGACAAAGCATTTAGAAAGAAAGAAATGTGATGACAGATGGCTTGGAAAATATCAACCCATTTCTGTATCAAGTCGTTCTTCCCTTTGAAGGGATTTCAAAGGAATACACAGACACCTTGGTTATCTGGGCTGCCAACACTAACAAACATATAAAGATTATCACAACTCAGTATCTGATAATTGAGGTCTCAACAACCAGAATTTGAGTGTACAGGGATGGCATCCTTTGATAGATACTAAATGACCACATCATTCCATGCATTTGATGACTAATGAAGTCACTGGCTGACAACTTTCAACAAGAGATATTCATGAAGGAAAAGTAGAAGTGAGTACTTCCGTATATGACCTTCAAAGATGTTCACTCCAATATTAAATGCTTAATGAGTAACTTGTATGAGAATAAGAAAACACTAAATTTCATCTAATAAGCAAGCATAATTCGGCAATTGTGAAGGGAAAATCTTTAAGCATGAAATTGAGAAAAAGAAAGAAGATATTCTTATAAGTGATAAAAATCACCCAAGCGATAAATCCACTACCTCTGGAATTTGAAGGAACTCAGAGCTCAACCCGTGTTGATCCAAAACTCTTGGAATCAAATACTGCATCGCTATCCTAAGCTTTTCTTCAGGGGTGTATCCAGGCAACTCAATGACTTCCATCCTGTCTAAGAGTGGTGGAGGAATAGGCTGCAACCTGTTTGCAGTTGCCACAAAAATCACCTTTGAAAGGTCAAATGGAACATTCAGATAGCTACAGACCTTAAGTTAAGGAAGCACCATTGACATACTTATCATGAGAGGGATGATATTTTAATCAGATTTAGCTCTAAATTTCAAAACTTTCTCCAAATGAACTTCATGCCTTAAAAATTGCTCCTGGTTCTATATAAAGAAAAATAAATAGAATTTGCATCTTTAACTTTAGTGATGAAAACTTTAAATTTATATCTTACTATCTGGAATTATACCAACAGAATCAAAATTTAAATGGCATTCTTAAACTACGATGAATTCACTTTAATAAGTACCTACCAAGACTGACTGCATGCCCAGTGAGATAAAACCGAGATTCAGTGAAAGGCATCAGCAAAAAAAAAAAAAAAAAAAAAAAAGAAACAAAATAATAGAAAAAAAGGATACTGATCATTGAATGTTTTATTTTGTTCAGGGTCAAGAACCTCCAGCAGAGCTGAAGCTGGATCCCCACGCACATCAGAACCAGTCTTGTCAATCTCATCCAGCAGCATCACAGGATTACAAACACCCACTTTCTAAAGCCAAAAAAATAGAAAAAGAAACATAAGATCATTCACGAACTTTGTCACATGATCTTTGCTTACAAAGAGAAAATTGCCTCTTGACTTCAAAATTCAACTCTTGTGCAACAAAGAAATCAGGATGGTACATCACTAAACGATCTAATTCACAGTCTAATTTACACCCAAATTATATGCTACCTCATGTGAGAGATCATGTCCAGTAGGAGATAAAACACTAGAAATGTGAGCATGAATACAGAAGGTCACAGTTATGAGCTTGCTGTATTGTCCTAACAAAGGAGTAACTCTGGAGAAAAAAGTGCAAGAGAAGGGACAGCTCAAATTAAGCAAATCTACAAGTTCCAGAAGTCTAGACACACAACGAACGTAAATAGATGCAGAAGAATTCCATGGATAAGCATGAAAACTGATTGAGCCATCTTCAGTTCAGATAATTTGTCTATTCAAAAGCCATCAGCATCACATTCTTGGCATAAATCAGGGAGTATGAACTGGACCAATGACTGCATTACTGATCTAAGCAATCCTGATTTTTTTCCTTCTACAGAGAAATCTATTGGTACAAATAAAAGATCAATTGGAAAGTGTGTTTCAATTCCTCTGCACATGTAGTCCATCATTATAGAAAGGACAATAATCTCCCACCATTCACATCAATCTAAAAACACGACCTTTAGATTTTTACAGTGCTTGTGACAGAATTTAAGATGCCCACATGTTGTTTGATGAGTTCTTTCAAGAGAACTATTCGGTTTCGTGGAACACTGTGATTGGATTTAAAGCATCCCAGCCTTCTACCCTAGAATTACTTAAGCAAATGTTCAAGTGTGTTATTAGTCATAAAGTGATAGGGACTGTTGGAAAGTTTGGTAAACCCTGAAATTAAGGGAATCTTTTATTAGTCAACTTTCTGTTTGTATACTTTGGACAGTCTCCTAGTTTAGTGGATTTCTTGCTATTGGTTTCCAAGAATAGATTCTAAAATAGTCTCTCTGTTTTAAATTAAGGAATTCTTTTGTTAGTCAACTTTTTGTTTGTATACTTTAGGTAGTTTCCTAGTTTAGTGGATTTTTTGCTATTTGTTTCCTAGAATAGATCTTAGAATAGTGCTTTCTATTTTTGTTATAGCGTTATATAATGTAATTCTTAGTGATGAATAAATTCAATTCAGTAGAATTATTCATGCAACCACTGTTTTCATGGTATTAGAGCCGAGCGCTCCTGCTGGCAACGTTTTCTGGTAATCTTGCTGAAAGCCAAAACCCCATTCATGGCTAAAACAATTCGGTCTTCATCTTCCTCTGAATCCTCTAGGATCTCAATCACTCCAAATCCCTCCACAAATCCCATGGGTTCCATCTCCACCAATGACATCAACCACTCTGTCCAAATAACCCAACACAAATTGAACGGATTGAATTTCAAGAATGGTTCCAGTCCGTTCTTCTCGTAATCAATGGCAAAGGAAAGATGGCCTACCTCACCAGTGACTCTTCTCCACCACCGATAGATGAAAATTACAGAAAGTGGGAGGCAGAAAACTCTGTTGTCATGATGTGGTTGATGTCAAAGGATCATCTCACCTAAAAGCTTAACCTCGTTAGGTGAAGCCCTAACACACCCTCTTAAGTGAAAACCCTTTGAGCTTGAAACTTACACGGACCCATACTACCTTGTATTTAATTAATTAGAAAAGCAAGTAGGGGTGGTAGGATTTGAACTCCCGATCATTTGGTCATCAAGGCTCTTACCATGTCAAAGGACCATCTCACCTAAAAGCTTAAATTGTTAGGTGAAATCTCGGGATATGATTTATATTATTCTCTAATAGTTGATCAACTTAATGGAACCAAAGATTGACTGGACCTATTGATTTTACAAAATAGCCCACGAAATCTAGATGACGATCCAAGAGATGTATTCCGATCTTCAAAACCCATCTCAATGTTTTAAACTTCATTCTACCTTACGTGACACTCACCAAAAAAATAGGTCAGTCACCAAGTATTATAATTTGTTGATTGAATTACAACAAGAGATAGATTTGTTTTATTTGATAAAGTGGAAGTGGCCTCGATGACAATTTTTTAACAATCAAATGCTTGAGAAAAATAAGAGTTTTTAATTTTCTTCAAGGACTCAACAAAGATTTAGATTAAGCACGAGGGTATATTCTTGAAACTAAGCCATTACCATCTATCCAAGAAGCATTTATAGAGGTTAAAAGGCAACAAAGTCATAGGAGAGTTATGTTACAATCTTCCAAAAACACCTATGTCGAAGAAACCAAACTAGGCTCGCATCGCCTATCGCCCGAGGAGATTCCAACAACACCAACAACAATTTCGGACGCCAAAGATCTAAGGAGAACAAACTTTGGTGTGACCACCGTAATAAACTCGTTGGGATTCTTTGCTATTAATCAGCTAGGAATTAGGTCTGTAAATCAATGTAATTAGTTGTATATTTGTTTCCTATTTAGAATAGGTTCGGCAAGATTTCCTCCTTGAAGTAGGAAACAAGTCCTAATATTTAGGACTCTTTGTGTATATATATGTTTTCTAGTATAATAGAAATTGAGGTCATTCAAACCTAATTATTCACATGGTATCGAGCCTCGATGACCAAACAGCTTGCAATTTTGAATCCTTCCACCCTCACTTTCTCCTCTAATTAATTAAGTACAAGATAGTGTGGGCTCGTGTAAGTTTCAAGCCCAAAGGACTTTCACTTAGGGGAGTGTGTTAGAGAATAATATAAATCATATCCTAGGACCTTGCCTAACGACTTAAGCTTTTGGGTAAGTCATCAACCTTAGCGATCCGAAATCAACAACGACCACGTATAGAGGGAAGGCCATGGTGTGAACATTGTCGCCGCCACGGTCATACCAAAAAACCTCGCTGGACACTCTATGGAAAACCAATTGATTGGAAGTCGAAAACAATAGTAGAGAATAAAGTTCGAGGCAACATGGCCGTGAATTTAGAGCGGATCGCAATTCTTAGTAGAGAGGAACTTGATGGACTAAGAAGGTTATCGTAATCACAATAGAATCCACCAATTATTGGGTCGGGTTCTATAGCTCAAAAAGGTAATTTTCTTAAGGCTTTGACTATCAAACAAGAGCTCTATAAGCCTTGGATTGTAGACTCGGTGCTTCCGATCACATGACAGGAGATAGACGAGTTTTTCACACATATTCTTCCTATAATGATGCTCTCACAACTAGAATTGCAAATGGTTCTTTGGCAAAAGTGGAAGGGACTCGGTTCGGTTGTGGTATCCAGGGACATAACACTCAAATTTGTTATATATGTTCCTAATCTAGACTCGCAAACTACTCTCCATAAATAAAATCACCCAAGATCTTAACTCGTCTAGCTAATTTTTCTCCTCATGTTTGTGAATTTCAAGATGTGACTTTGGGGAGGATGATTGACAATGCTAGAAGTCATGCTCGGGCTCTATCATCTTGAGGTTCAACCGAATTCGTGAGCCAATCTCATCTAGGAATGAGTAACCCTATTTCTAGTAAAGCCGACTCTTGCTTGTTTGTTAGTGAGTTGAAAACCGAGAGTGAGAGATCAATCATGGTGTGGCATTACAAGTTAGGACACCCAAACTTTATGTATTTGTCTAAACTTTTTTCAAGTTTATTCGGAAATAAAAGTGTTGGTTCTTTTCGGTGTGAAATTTGTCAATTTGCAAAACATGCTTGTAGTTCATACCCTATTCAACCATACAAAGCATCAAAACCTTTTTCTATAATCCATAGTGATGTTTGGGCCCCATCCCAAGTTCCAAATGTCACGAGGGCCGAGTGGTTCATCTCTTTCATAGATGATCACACACGACTCACATGGATTTTTCTCATGAAAAATAAATCGGATGCCCCTCAAATATTTAAGAATTTCAACACAATGATTAAAAATCAATTTCAAACTCGTCATTCAAATACCGAGAACTCGATAATAGAAGGGAGTTTTTTAATTCTAATCTTGGCTCATATACATCAACCGAGAAAATCATACACCAAAGTTCATGTGTAGATACCCCTCAACAAAATGGGATAGCCGAGAGAAAGAATAGACACCTTTTGGATATTGTCGGATCTCTCGTTGTTTTCATTCAATGTTCCAAAACGTTTTTGGAGTGAGGCTATACTTACAAGCAACATACCTAATCAATCGACTTCCATTAAAAGTGCTTGATTTTTCCACTCTACAAAGTATTTTTACAACACTTTCCTCAAAGTTGTCTAATTTCCACTCTTCCTCTAACAATATTTGGGTGTACTCGTGTTTGTGCATATCCATCAATAACATCGAACCAAGCTTGACTCTCGATCCACTAAATGTATCTTTGTAGGGTACTCTCCTAACCAAAAGGGTTACAAATGCTTCGATCCCGACAAGTAAAAGTTCTATCACACCATGGATGTCACATTTTTTGAATCAAAATCCTATTACATCAAAACCGATATTCGGGAGGAGAGTTCTAGTCAAAGTCAACCACAAGAATATCAGCTTTTCTTAGAGAGCATAGATTGCCCTCCGAAACATCCGAAACTACAAATACACCTTATCCACCCGAAAATGCTTCTACCCCATCTCCAAGTGTCCAACCCGAACCCGAACCGCAACCAATTGATTCTAAATCTCCCAATATAATTGTCTATCACGGAAAAAGGGGAAAGCTGAAGAAATTAGAGACTTCAGCAGATTTACGACTATCGTCGGCATTCGAACTTGAGGTAAATATCCCTACGTCCGATTTACAAATTGCAGAGGAAAACTTTGCGGGTTTTAGTTCAAGTAATCTTGGGAATTTCGATAAGAATCTACCCATTGCACTCGGGAAAGGGGTGAGAGAATGCGATAGTAAGCCATTGTACCCTATTGGGAACTATGTGAACTATAATGGGCCATCTTCATTTTACCAAGCATTCACCGGAAAAATCAATTCTATATCCATTCCGAACTCAATCCATGAAGCCATGGCTATCCCGGAATGAAAGAAGGCCGTCAATGAAGAAGTTAATGCTTTGGTGAAGAATGGTACTTGGGAGATTACCGATTTGCCTCATGGAAAAAATGTGATCGGGTGCGAGTGGATCTTCAATGTAAAAACAAAAGCGAGATGGTAGTATTGAAAGATACAAAGCTCGGTTAGTAGCTAAGGGATTTACTCAATCCTATGGCATATATTATGAGGAGACCTTTGCTCGGTAGCAAAACTCAACACTATTCGAATACTCCTCTCTCTTGCGGCTAATTTGGATTGGCCCTCGCATCAACTAAATGTCAAGAATGCATTTTTGAATGGGAATCTAGAAGAGGAGGTCTATATGGACATTCCCCAAAGACTACGTAACTTATCAAACATCAACAAAGTGTCGACTAAAGAAGTCACTTTATGATCTTAAACAATCACCCGTAACTTGGTTTGAGAGATTTACTAGAGTAGTGAAGAGTAATGGGTATACATAGGGACATTCGATCATACAATGTTTGTAAAACATTCTTTGGAAAGACCGATTTACGTGTTGATTGTCTATGTTGATGATATTGTTCTAACAGAGGATTATTATGAGGAGATTTCAAGAGTCAAAAGAATTTCGAATAGAGAATTTGAGATCAAGGACCTAGGTAAACTCACATACCTCTTGGTAATGGAAGTGGCTAGGTCTAAGCAAGGCATTGCAGTCTCTCAAAGGAAGTATGTACTAGATCTTCTAAAAGAAACAGGTATGCTTGGGTGTAAACCCGTAGAGACACCTAAGGACTACACCGCCAAACTTGGGTCCGATAAGGATAGCGCTCCGATAGATTAAGAAAGATATCAAAGACTCGTAGGAAAGTTGATCTATCCGTCACATACTAGGCCGGACATAGCATTCTTAGTAAGCATTGTTAGCTAGTTCATGAACAACCCTATCGAAGAACACGTGACAACGGTGTACAATGTCTTAAAATACTTGAAAATGACACTAGGTAAAAGACTATTATTCAAAAAGAAATCAAGTAGGGAAGTGGAATTGTATTTTGATGCAAATCAGGCAGTGCTCAATCATAGATAGACGATCCACTTCGGATATTGTACCTATGTCCGAGGAAATTTGACAACATGGAGGAGTAAAGAGCAAGCTATAGTAGCTAGGAGTAGTGCTGAAGTAGAATTTCGAGCAATGGCTCATGGTATTTGTGAAGGAATGCGGGTGAAAAGAGTATTAACCGAATTGAAGATACATTTTAAGGGATCACTATAGCTACTTTGTGACAGATCAATCTGCCATCGGTATTGCTAAAAATCCAATTCATCATGATCGGACCAAACATGTAGAAATAGATCGGCATTTTATCGGAGAAAAATAGGACGAGAAATCAAGCCTACTTATATTCCTTCTAATCTACAAACAACCGATATCCTAACTAAAGCACTTCCAAGGACACATTTTGAAGATCTTAGTTGCAAGTCGGGTATGATAAATATTTACAACTCAGCTTGAGGGGGAGTGTTGGGATTCTTTGCTATTAATCAACTAGGAATTAGGCTGTAAATCAATGTAATTAGCTATATATTTGTTTCCTATTTAGAATAGGTTAGGCAAGATTTCGTCCTTGAAGTAGGAAACAAGTCCTAATATTTAGGACTCGTGTGTATATATATGTGTTCTAGTATAATAAAAATTGAGATCATTCAAACTTAATTATTCGCATAAACCTTACCACACTAAAGAAACTTGTTGGGACATCCATGGGAAGCCAGCAGATTGGAAGCCACGAAGTCAGCAGAAACAAAATCCTTCAACACGTGGCCGAAGTTGCTGTAGATCCAAATAAACAAGTCCATCTCCATTTCAGTGCTGAACAAATGGAAATTTTGAAGACCCTTGTAGAATCAACCTCAGACCGAATCTAGCTCAACATCATCTACTGCAACTGTTATGCAACGAGAACTCTGTCATTTTTTTGGTCAACAAAGGAGATGAGTAAAGGATGGATAGCTGAGACTGGAGCTTTGAACCACATGACCAGGTCCCCTACATTATTTTCTTCCTATAAACCATGCATGGAAGAAATGAAAATTACTGTGGCAGATGGTAGCTCCTCGATTGTAACTAGTTTTGGAGATCTTACCTTGTCCGACTTGCATTTGAAATCTGTCTTTTATGTTCCAAACTTGAAATACAACCTCATTTCTATTAGTAAATTAACTGATCAAAATTGGGCAATAACTTTTTTCTTTTCTACGTCTGAATTTCAGGATTTGTCTTTAAGGATTGTGATTGGCAATGCTAAGGAATGGAATGGACTCTACTATCTATCGGGTTCTTCTTCCAGACCTAGCTCACTTAAAAAGTTCTTTTTATACACTTCTTCAAACTCAAATGTTGCTTTTTGGCATAAACACCTAGGTCATCCCAGTTTCAGTTATTTAAAATACTCGTATTCAAATCTATTTATAAAAAAAGACATCTCTTCCTTTCAGTATGAGCATTTTATTTATGCAAAACAATCACGAAAAAATTATCCCGATAATGTTTTTCAAGCTCCAAAACTATTTCATCTCATTCATATATTTGGGGTCCTTCTTGATCCTCAAATATAACAGGAACAAAATGGTTTATTTCTTTTATTGACAACCATACCCGAGTATGTTGGTTTTACCTTATGAAAGAAAAATGTGAGGCAAGTTCCATATTCAAACAATTTCACAAATTAGTCCAAAATGTTTTCAATCATCCATTCAGGTTCTTCGTACTGATAATGGATGAGTATTTTGGTCATGAACTAAAAAACTACCTTGAGGAACATGGTATCTTCCATTAGAGCTCATATGACTAGATCCTTCAACAAAATGGTACTGTAGAACGAAAAAATTGTCATATTCTAGAAGTTGCCCAATCCATTATGCTTGCACGTTATGTTTCAAATTTTTTATGGGGTGATGCTGTATTAACTACCACATATCTCATTAATCAGCTCCCCTCCAAAACTCTTTTAACTTCAAAACTCCACTCAATTGTCTGAAAAAATTATTCCCACATGTAAGACTTCTTGAGTCTCTACATCCAAAAATTTTTGGATGAACAATATTTGCTCATGATTCTAATCCTACTCGGGAAAAACTTGATCCAAAAGCTATTGAGTGCATCTTTCTTGGCTATTCTCCTACACAAAAAGGATACAAGTGCTATCGTCCATCCTCCAAAAAAATTGTTTCATATGATGTTACATTCTTTGAAAACCAGTCATTCTACCCCAATGCTTCTGATCTCACTTCCATCTATTACTTTCCCCCAAAAGAGTTCTGTAAATACACTGAACCAATACCCATGATAGGTCAAGGGGGAGAAACCGAGAAGGGTGAACTGTAGGTTTATTCTAGAAAAACATGGGTGCCTCATCATAACCAATCATCAGACCTAGTGCCAAATCCAACTGAGGAAGACACACGACCAAGTAAAGGTAATTGTGAAATTTATGATCTTGATGTTTCCATTGCTACTAGAAAGGGGGTTAGGTCATGCATGGAGCATCCTACATTTACCTCAAAACTTGATGACTTGGAGATCCCTACAAATATTCAAGATGCTCTCCAAGATCCAAAATGGAAAGCTGCAGTAATGGAGGAGATGACTGTCTTGAATGAGAACAAAACATGGGAAGTTTTTAAAACTACCCAAAGGGAAGAAGGTTGTGGGGTGCAAGTGGATCTTTAGTATAAAACTTGGAGCAGATGGACGCTCAAGGCTATACTCAAACACAAGGCATAGACTATGAAGAGACTCTTGCTCCTATAGCCAAGTTGAATTCCATTAGAGTGCTTCTTTCATTGACTGGTAATCTTGACTGGGACTTGCACCAGATATGTGTAAAAAATGCACTCCTAAATGGAAATTTGGATGAGGAAGTGTATAGGAAGCTACCTCCAGGGTTTGAAGGAGAAAATGGTGCTAGAATGGTGTGTGGATTGAAGAAGTCCTTATACGAACTGAAACAGTCCCCATGAGCTTGGTTCACTCAATTCAGCATTGCAATGAAACAATTCAGCTACTAGCAGGGGCAAACAGATCACACCCTCTTTGTGAAACAAGCTACAGATGGAAAGAAAGTCATCCTAATTGTAATGTAAATGATATGGTTATAACTGGAGATGATGTACAAGAAATTGATTGTCTTAAGAAACGGCTACAGACAAAGTTTAAGGTAAAGGATCTTGTCGCACTACAATACTTCTTTGGAATGGAGATAGCAAGAAGTAGAAAAGATATATTCATTTCTCAGCAGCAGTACACTCTTGATCTCTTGAGAGAAATTGAGAAACTCGGATGCAGACCAGCTGGGACTCCTATGGAGCAAAATTGGAAGCATAAAATTACCAAAAATGATCCTCTTGTAGAGAGGGAACGATATCAACATTTGGTGGGAAATTTGATTTACCTGACACTTTCCAAACCCAACGTAACCTATAGTGTAAGTGTGGTAAGCCAATTCATGCACTCACCCACTAAGAGGCACTAGAAGCAGTGGATCAAATTCTTCGAAACATGAAGGGTAAACCTGAGAAAGGGATGCTCTTTCAGAAGAATAATCAAAGAAGTATTGAAGGCTTTGCAAATGCAGATCGGGCAGGTTCAGTTGAAGTTATGAAGTCTACCACTGGATACTGCACAAAACTATGGGGAAATGCGGTAACTTAGAGAAGCAAGAAAGATTTTGTAGTTGCAAGGAGTAGTGTAGAAGCAGAATACAGGGCAATTGCTCAAGGTGTTTGTGAACTAATCTGGTTAGAAAGGTTACTACATGATTTGAACCTTCTGCTACAAGAACCAATGAAGTGCAGTGATAGCAAGTCAGCCATCAATGTTGTTCATAATCTGGTCCAACACGACAGGATGAAGCATGTGAGGATGCACTGGAATTTCATCACGTCGGAGATTGAAAATGAAACATTCACCCTACATTAGGAGCCTACAAAGTCACAAGACGCTGACATTCTCACAAAGACATTACTTAAGTAGGAATGTGAATCAAATGTAAGCAAATTGGAAATGATCAATGTCTATTCACCAGCTTGAGGGGGTGTTGGAAAGTTTGGTAAATCCCAAAATTAAGGGATTCTTCTGTTAGTCAGCTTTTTGTTTGTATGCTTTAGGTAGCTTCCTAGTTTAATGGATGTTTTGCTATTTGTTTCCTAGAATAGTGCTTTCTGTTTTTGTTTTATGGTTATAAAATGTAATGCTTAGTGATAAATAAATTCAATTAAGTGAACTATTCAAGCAACCACTGTTTTCAGGGACTGATAGGAAATTAGTTTGTGCGAGTTAGGAAAATGAATACACTAAGCTCTAAAAGCTGCTGCACTAGCACGATAGGAAAAAATTCCAGCTACCCCGTTTAGAAATGAGACTTTTGTACCAACAAAGATATTGACAAGAAACAGCAAAAATTTAAAAAATATAACGCATCAAAGTACTTTTCACCTTTACTCCATCTATGAGACGCCCTGGCATGCTTCCAATGTATGTTCTCCGGTGCCCTCTAATATCAGCCTCATCCTTAATGCCACCAAGGGATATACGGACAAATTTTCTGCCCAAGGCAGCAGCAATTGACGAAGCCAGAGATGTTTTTCCAACACCTGGTGGGCCAACAAAGCACAAAACTGGGCCTCTTGCATCTGGTTTAAGCTGAAGTGGAAATAAATAAAACAAGATAAAAATCCAATTGAAATGTAAAATTTCAAAAAGACACTCAAGGCAATAACACTTGAAATAGGTCAACCTTGCGAACAGCTAGATATTCAATAATACGTTGCTTGATCTTGACTAGACCATAGTGGTCATTATCAAGACGTTCTTTTGCAGCTTTTAGATCCAATTCATGTTCTTCACTCATCATCTGCCATGGCAGATCAGCAAGAAGCTCCAAGTAAACACGTGAACTATTATATCCAGGTTGCTGAGGTTGCATTTTCTTAAGCCTCCTGAAAAGGAGAACAAAAAGTGTAAATATAGTAGAAATGAAAAGAAAAATCAAGACTCCAGAATATGAAATTTGGGTCTTGCATTGCAACCACTTCTGAGCAAGAGAATCTAATTCAAATGATGCCTAAATTATTCTAGAAAAAATGCAGGTACAACACAGGAACCACAAAATTTGGTGAAGTATCACATTGAAGATAGTTCTCACCTCAAATTAGGATAAGGACCTATTTCAGCCCTATGACATCTCATTAGGAGATTAGAAATGCAGCAGCCCTATGGATCTGAAACAGTAAGCCACCTACTCTCTATGTGTGGGTAACCCTAAAAACTTGGGTTGTCCAATCAGCAACACAAAAATATCGATGCAGAATATAGATTAAGGAGAAGGATACGAGCCAGTATCCAGTGCCACAATTCTTACCGCACTGAATGTAATGGAATGTTTGTAAATCAGAAGTTTTCTCAGATCAACATGTTGACATTTTTCTAACATCATCAAGTTTTGATAATAGTTGTCTTGGACTTAAAAGAATTCTGTATGGAATCATCTAGGTATGTAACTGATGATATTTCATCAGGTAAACTTTCAATAATAACAATATTTTACAACTGCATCAACATGTAGTGTTAGTAAAATCCTTGGCTAGATAAGAATCAACTAGTTTTATCGCCACTTTAAATCCAGCCATCAAAAGATGGTGATCATCTGTTCTATCTTAACCAAAAACACATACCTCAACTCCCTTTGGGCATGCTTCCAGATATTTGAAGGCATTCCTGCACTTTGCATCTTCCTTTCTAGGGCAGCCACATCATCCTCATCATCATCATTGTCACCAAGCTCCTCTTTTATAGCCCTCATCTAGAATATGTATAAAATGAATTAGCCCAAAAATTATAATAATTATAGCATCTAGCTAAGATTTAGAAAAGAACGTTCTATAAGTAAACAATTTACTGAGGAGTCAGCAGCCGCACACTTTTAAACATCAAGCATGACACACCACCTGATAGCACTTTGCTTTTTAGTCTGTAGCCACGTGTCCATTATGTATAAAACTAAGATGATAGTTCCACATCTGATGACTAACTACACCAGTCAATGTCTATTTAATAACCAAAAGTGAACCCTTCAATTAAGGAGCCTCACAGGCCCATCGCCCACAAAATAATTTTGGTGAATCTTCCAAATGTTAAAAACTATACAATCATAAATCTCTCTCCACATAATGCGATGAAATGCTCCATTAGAAGATGAACTTAAAAGATAGAAATATAATGTAGCTAACATATTAGAACACCTAGACTTTCATTTTTATCTTTATTTTAAAATAACACTTCAAGTTACATCCAAATGACTTATAGGTTGTCTGAACCTCCGTCCCCCACAGAATAAAAAATGCTTATAACTGATACTACCATGAATCCTCCTTAAAAAACCTACCAATTGGTTAAGACATAATTTGCCTTTAAAATAGATGACGTCTAAAAACATTTAAATTGCAAGATTGAAACCAGAAAACCAGGCTCTCGATTCCCTAACAGATGCTTCAATATGCTGATCTATCTACATATCATACCCTACATATTATACTACCTAAGAAGAAAAGCTTACCTGCTGACGCAGAAGAAACTCTTTCTGTGATTTTGACAATTGTCCTTCAACCTTTTGCGTGATCTTCTCTGCCACACGTATTGACTGTCACAAATAAACATTAAAACATGACTCCATAAAGTCCAGAGGAATAATCAAGATCACTTCATGTAAATGTATCAGATGTTAGCTATCAGAGGATGAAATCACCTGTAAATGTCGGTCAACGAGCTCTGTGGCTTTTGACAGCCTTACTTTCAGGTCAACTGAATCCAACATAGATAGTTGCTCTTCAAAACTTATCTCAAAGCTAGCGACAAATATATCTGCTAATTTGTGAACAGGGACTGTCTCCAAAAGGACTTTTGTCCTCCCGCCAGTTTTTTGTTTCTAAGAGTACAAATGAAACAACAATTGTGACAGAATGACAGTACAATAACATGAAAAGCAATATCAAAAAGCTAATTCTTTTCAAGTAATATAAGAGCCAACATTCTTGAATAATATGCATAAAATTTCACGATTAATTTGCCAGTGACCATTCTTACCACGACAAGGTTCACATATAAACAGGGGGGCCTGCATTTTCATAATTTTAATACCTAAGTATTATAACAGAAGATTACCTGCTCAAGAACAGAAATCAGCTCCAATGCGGTTGCTTTGAACTGGCGAGACAGTGCTACAAAATCGGGTTCTTGCTCCACTTGCTCCAGCTCTAATGAAGTATTAAGAGTGTGGAAATAATTCAGCATACTGATCAAAGAAGCTATGTAGAACACATTAGTGCTCAATGATTCAGCAACAAAGAATTTAATTCAGAACTTACCAGCCTTTGACATTTCAAGCGGAGATATCCGTGCAGTATAATAGGTCCCTCTCGTGCTAAGTTCATGGAGATTGAATCTGCACAAACCTTCAAGAACAACTATGTATGTCACCCTCCCACTAGGTTTCTCCACTCCTCTAGAGAGATGCAAAGCACGAGCCGCCACTCCCCTAAAAGAACTCAACAATCGTTATCCATCAGAACTTCAATTTAAAATTTTAAAAACAGCAAAAATAATGAACTTGAAGGTGAATTGAAGCGTAAACCTGTTATGCCAGTGAAAAACTTCTTGCTGGTGTTTCCCATCAAGCTTGACATTATCCGACGATGTACTGGCTTGAGTTTTCGAGCTTTTCTCACTGGTATCACTTCCGGCACCTAAACAATCATATCTCCATTCCATTTAGTCAAACATAAGTTCAAAAATAATAATAAAAGTCAACGCTACCAAAAAGAAGAAGAAAAAAAGCACAAGGATCACGAGTTTTACCTTGGGATAAGGTAGGGCCCACAGATGCCGTCTCCGCCGCGGCAGCAGCTGCATCTCTAACTGGCAAAATCCCAATCAAACCCTTCTCTTCTCTTTGCCACAGTTCTTGCTCTACCAATTTCACACTAGAATTCACCGAATCCAATCATAAATAGCCAATTCATAAAAACATAAACAAATAATCACGCAATTCTCTGTTAATTCATTATAAAACAGCTGAAGAAAAATCAAATAACAAAAAATTCAGTTATAGAATTTCGAATATGTAGAATTTTGAATCTAAAGCTCCGCTTGATTGTGCAAATTTTACATATCAGAGAAAAACTTTTATTGGATCAAATTTTTCTGAGAAGACAAGATAAGTGTAGCTCTAAATTTAGAAAAAGAAAAACAGAAAAGATGGCGCGAGAGAGAAAATTAAATAAATAAAAAATGAGTACCTGCTGGGAGAAGTGCATCGAATGCGAATAATGGCGCCGGGTAAAAGCACCTTGTTTCTGAACGGAAGGATCGCTAACCGACTCGGTAACTCGACCGATTCAGCCATTTTTTGGTAACTGAAGATACAGCAGAGAAAGGAAGAGAGAAGGAGAGAAACAACAATGATTTTTCAACGAAGAGGATTTTTTGTTTATAAAGAGAGAGTTTGGCTGTTTGTTTTGTTTATTTATTAATTAATTTAGATAAAGAAAGACGAGACGGAGAATATATTAGTAAATAAGAACCAGGGAAACAGAGAGAGGCGTGGTAGTTTGGTGAGAGATGGATGATCAGTCAAGAGGTTAAAACTAAAGGAAAATATCGAGGGCCTTTTTCTCTTTTCCATTTTGTTTCTGCTTTCTCTGCGTAAGAGCTAGCATCTGAATTTTTTGGATTTACTTTTACTTCATTTATTATTTCACAATTTTTATGGTGTCAAATTTCAAGATGGCATCATGAGATAAAATATATAAAATTATTTTAATTTGATATATTGTATTATAATATATATATATATATATTAAATAAAAATTTATTAAATTTTTTAATTTTTTAATTAAAATTTTGAATTTGATTAATTATTCTTTATATTTTTTATAAATTTTCAAAACATTATTCATTTATCTCTATTCATATATAAAAAATTTATAATAGTATAAAAAAATTCAAAGTCAATGGATTTTTAACAAAAAAAACTTATTTTGAAAATTGTTTTTCTAAAACCAATTATTTTAAAATTTTTAATTAAAAGAAAAAGAAATGACTCAACTGATAGAAATGAAATAAAAAAAGATTAAAATAAAACAAAAAATATTATAAATTAAAAAATATTTTTAAAAAATAAAATGTTAGCGATATCATGAAAACTTTTATAATAAATATTTTTAAAATATTTAAAAATTATAAAAATATTATTATATACTAAAAGAAATAACTTATCTGAGTTATACTGGATGGTGCAAATAAATTTGGATAAACAGTATTTTAAATAATATAATATATTTTATTTTAGTTTTTTTTTAATTAATTTATGGAGACAGGAAAGATGCCTAACATGGAGCATTCTCATAACTGTTTATTTCACGTGTTTTTTAAGAGGAACGTGCTGTGCAATGTGTTTTGACCCCTCTCCTGAGATAGACCTCACAAGTCACAGCTTGCTGTCGCGCGCGCGCGCGCCGGGGGGGGGGCCGTGGGTGGGTGTTGGGGCGATCCCAGCAGCTCTCCTTTCAGTCCTGAACCTAACGGTCATGGCAGCCGCCTTTTAGAAAAGAAAAACTCAAAGCAGCCCCTTCCTCCTTCGATTTTCATTTTGGTTGGTGCATGGCAAATTTGTAATATTACATATCACATATGATTACATTTCTCGTCCCTTTTGTTTTTAATATTTCAGTTATCACATGGATGGTATCAAAGGAAAACTAAAAAGATTTTGGGGTTTAAATTAAAAAAAAAAACCCTAAAAGATGAGGGCAAATGAACAATAAATTATTATTCGTTATTCTTAAATCATTATTCATAACTGTTCATGAATGGATAGTATTTTTTTTTATTTTGGACAGTGATAATTTCGTAATTTTATATAGTTTTTCATCTATTTTCAAATTTTACGCTTTATTTTATTTTGGTTTTTTATTTTTAAAAAATATATTTTTGATCTCTTATGTTTTTAAAAATAATTTGCCATCTTATATTTTTATTTTATTCCACTTTCATTTCTCATTTTTTCAAAATAGACTTTTGGTCCCTTATGTTTTTGACCCCTCAAGTTTTTAAAATTTTAAAATAAATATATATATGAGTATATTAATTTTAGAAATGTCAATTTTTTTATCAGTAAAAAAATGATGGATTCATTCAATTCTATTCAACGGAGAAACCAAAAAAAAAATCCAGAATTAATTTACCACAAGAAATGGATAATATATTACAACCGAATTAAAAATGTCAAAAATTATGATTATTTAACTTATTAAAAATCAGTCGGCGAGGAATCTAATTCTGTAAAATAGGTGTTGATGTGCTTGCAAATTAAAATTTATCTGTGGTTCGTGAACTGAAGGCTTATAAGTTATATCCATATAATTTGTTATTCCGACTCCTTATTCAGCAATTCAATTCCTTGATCCTGATTTATTATTATCCAACCAAAACTTATTAATTACTACTGCTTATGCTACGCTACGGGTATGATAAAATAAAATCATTTTAAAATTTTATAATTATAATTTTTTTAATGTTTTTCATAAATTTTTTGCTTAAAAAAAAAAACCACTCTTCTTTATGGATTGATTTTAAAATAAAAAATTATAATAATTTTAACTAAAATATGAATTAAGAATTAAAAAAAACTTTAAAAACATATTTTTCATAATATTGTATTCCAAAAAAATAAAGTTATAATTAATAGAAAGATTTTTATAAAAATTAACAAATGAAAAAAAATCTTATTTAATGCTAATGAAAAGATTAATTTTTGAAATTATCCACAGAATATTGTGGGTGGATAGAACAAAATTATTTCAAAATTTTATAATTTTTTCATTAATTTTTATTTAATTATTACTAATTTTTTTCATAAAATTTATGTTTTAAAAAAACATGATTTATTCTTTTTTTATTCAGAGATTCTTAAATAAAAACTTATAACAATTTAAATCTGAAATATTAAGTAAGGATTCAAAAATAAATACTTTTAAATTTTTTTTTATAAGAATGTATCCAAAAATAAATTTGCAGTTAATATAAAGACTTGCATAAAAATTAACTAATGAAAAAAAATTATTGTTATTTAATATCGGTGAGCAAATTTTTTTAAAAGTATATGCATTTCTTCTTTATATATTTATTTACGAAATAATCAATAAAATTAGCATAAAAAACTACATTTGAATAATTGGTTAGTTCCTTTAAAAAATTATTTTAATTATTTTATTTCAAATAAAATGGTTTTGTAATGTTAAAAAAATATTCATAGTAAATAATATGTATTATATTGGAAGATGTATAGTTAATTTTTAATAAAAACAATGATTTAATAGTTTTTTTTTATATGCCTTGACCATGCCTAATGAATTGAGATAAATTATTTGAAATACACTTTTAACATTTTATAAAAAAATAATTATATATTTATATATATAAGCAACCATCATTTAAAAATTCTAAAAATTCATTATATATATTATACCAATTTATTTTAAAAAGAAAAAAGAAAAAACCATCATGTTTTAAAATTTTGTTCTAAAATTCAAATATAGAGAAAAATAAATTATATTTATCAATAAATAAAAAGTTATATAAAAAATATTAATTTTATGAGAATTTTCATAAAAAATTATAAATTCAAAGAATGAAATTTAAATAGTAAAAGTAATATAAGTCGAAGTATATGTTAATTTTAATACACACACACGCCGCACGAAAATGAAAGAAAAATAAAAGTTGAGGATTGAAAAAAAAATGTTACAATGCAAGGGATGAAAATAGAAAAAAATGTTAAATTTGCATACTAATGCCCAAAAACACACACACACACAAAAAATCATACATAAAAATTACTTAAATTGCCATCAAATAAATAATAATTTTATGCATATAAAGAGTAAGTGAATAGAAATTGTAAATATATGAATAATTCGGATTCTCGCGCTATGTCGTGGATCGAACTAAACATATGTATTTTAATTTGATAACATATAGTATGTTATCGGTTAATTAAAATATACTAAATTAAATATAAAAGATAAAATTTCATTTAATTTTATCATTTTTAATTCGGTTCTAGGGTAGGTGTACGACGGATTGTTATATATATATAACAATCGGTTGTTACACCTACCCGAGAACCGAAATCTCAACATTATAAGAGCATGTTTTGTTTTAATTTCGAGATAAATGCTTTAATCAAATAAAAACAGCATCATCTTTTATATTTATCTCAAGATGTTTCTTTAAAAAAAATACAACGTCGGTAACAAAATGACTTGATGAAAGCAAAGATTTCGATTTGCAAAAACTTATTGAAAATGAGATCTTGAAAAGGTTCTAGAAGATTTTTTTTTGTTTTAAGAGAAGTAACTTCTCATAAATACTTGATCAAAATCATTATTATGTTTCAAAATGATTTCAAAATTGATACTATTGTCTTGTTTGATACCGGTGTTGATTTAAATTGCATAAAAGAAGACATAGTTTCAAAATGGTTTCACATAAAAACCCATGAAAGGCTTTCTATAGCAAACAATTATAAAATAATCATACATGGCAAAACGAAGCCTCTCGCAATCGGTGGCACCACTATCATAAAAAAGCATTTTCTTCTTGTTGAAAACATGCATCATATGGTACTATTGGGTACGCCTTTTATTAATCTTATAACCCCTTATAAGGTTAATGATTATAGCATTAAATTATACGGATAAAATCAAACTATATTAAATTAAATTAAATTAAAATAGATAGTAAGGTACGTGGCATTGTTACACCAAAGGTTAAGCCCTAGGCTTGGTCATTGGTTTTCGACTTATATAACTTAAGATAAAGAGAGGGAATTTTGATAAAACATAAAAAAAATATTTTATCCGGTATCAAAGCCATGTTGATTTTGTTGGTGGTGGTATGTTTATAGGTTTATGTTGTTCATGTTTAGATCTTCGTTGGTAATAAAGGTAAAGACAATTGAGTTGGTGACCACGGTCGTGTGTCCTAGGAGAGACAATAATTCTGTTATTATCACCTTCATAATTTGCATATCTCCGTTACAAAACAAAGTCTAGGTATGGATTCTATATTCCGTAGATCTACCTCTTTCTCGGACTCTTTTACCTCCGAAACCTCGGATTCTAGGAAGATAATAACCGGTGCAAAATATGTTATAGAAGATTTCAAAAAATAGATAGATAATTAGGAAATCCTCAAAGTACATAAGGATGAGATTTACAAAACCTCAAAGTATAACCTCGTTTAAAATCTATTACACTATCAAAATCGAAGAAAGAGATATCCAACTTTCAAAACCTTTTGAGACCATACATCTTCTCTTTTCCAAAACCTTACAAAAACATA